GTCTATGGGCTTCATGGGTCTGTGCTGAGGAAGGGTAGGTGCTTGGCTGAACTCCTTCCCAGCCCAGGAAGGCTCTGGGTGAACAGAGGCACCTGGCCTGGGCCCCTTGTGTCCCAGGGTTCTCTAAAAAGGTCCTGATAATAGACCCTTCAGCCTAAGCCAGACTCCAGGGTCCAGCATTGCTTCCTCCTCTGTGAGGCCCTCCCAAATATTTAGAAGAGCACCAAGTTCCCCTACGTGCTGGGGCAGACAGTGCACTTTATTTCTCCCAGGAATCCACATCTTGGTCCCCTTTTGTTTGTGCGTGCTGTGAGGTGGTGGCTGGTTGACCGAGCTTGGATGAGCTTTTCACACTTCACTGTCTGGATGTCCCTGTTCTCACAGCCATGGCTGGCCAAGGGCAGCAGCCAGCCTCAGCAAAGGTAGTGCACTTGCTCTGTGCAGCATTGCTGGAGTTTTGTCTCATTCCACAGGGAGTGTGTGAGTCAATGAAATGGGCTGGGAGTAGACAGCCAGGTGAGAACTGGGAAGCCAGTCTTGTTTACAAACGGAGGCCGATGGAGTGAGAAGTATGTTTTCATTCTCCCATCCTAGTTTTTTAAACTTAGGGAATGTATGAGTTTCCCACTGATGCTGTAACAAAGAGCCCACAGTTAGTGGCCTAACAGCACACGTTCATTGTTCTGGTGGTCCGAAGTTGAAATAGATCCTAATTATCAAAGCAGCATCTGTGCTGGCTGGAGGCTCCAGGGAGATTCCTTTCCTTGGCCTTTTATTTTAATTTTTTAACATTTATATTTGTTATTTTATGTGCATGAGCATGTTGCCTGCATGTATGTCTGTGCACCATATGCATGCCTGGTGACTGAGGAGATGGTGAGCCTCCATGTGGGTGCAAGGAATGGAACCCTGGTCCTTTGCAACAACAACAAGTGCTCTTAACCACGAAGCTAACTCTCCAGTCATTGTATTTATTTATTTTTTTAAACAATTAGATATGATATTCCTACATCCTGGGATTACCATATGACCACCTTTGAGGTCATGCCATTCAGCCTGCTGAGAGTTTGTGGTTTAGGGTCTAAGGAGCATGAGACTACTTGTTAAACACTCATTGTGTTTCAGAAACTATGATAGATCCTTTACACATACCATCTCATTTAATTCTCACACCATTGTATCAGAGAAGGGTGTGTGTGTGTGTGTGTGTGTGTGTGTGTGTGTGTGTGTGTGTGAAGTCAGAGAACAACTTTCAGCTATTGTTCTTTCCTTCCACCATGTGGGTCCTGGAGATTTTGTTTTGTTTTGTTTTGTTTTGGGGGGCAAGGTTTCTCTGTATAGTTTTGGTGCCTGTCCTGGATCTCGCTCTGTAGCCCAGGCTGACCTCGAACTCACAGAGATCTGCCTGCCTCTGCCTCCCGAGTGCTGGGATTAAAGGTGTGTGCCACCACCGCCCGGCTCATTTTTTTTTTTTTTTTTTTTGAGACAAGGTCTCTTATTGGCCAGGAGTTCTGACCAATGAGCCCCAGGGGTCAACCTGTCTCCACCTCCCCAGCACTGGGATTACAAGCATGCTAGCATTTCTTTTTTAAACTATTCAATCCTTAATACCTAGACAAACACCTTTCTGATCTGTAAAATGGGACAGTAAGTGGCTCAAGGGTTTGTGTGAGGGATGAGATGGCATCTGTAAGGGCGGAGGGTGGTGCTCATGGTAAGTGATCTAATAATGCCGCCTGTTGTTATTGTCTGCTGGCCCCATCTTTCCCTGGGATCTCCTCCCTCAAATTCCTGCTCACTTTGGCAGACAGAGTCCCACTCAGTCCAAGCTAAATCCAGCCAAAGTGGGCAGATGTTGCCACAGGGACAGTGTCAGGAGTCACCTGAGAGTACTGCCCCCAGTTGCTCAAAGAAGACAGGGTTTTTGTAAAATGTTTGAGTATACAGTAAAATGGCCCTACCCTGTAGACTTTCTTCCAGGAGTGTCTGCCATGCTCAGATGGCTCCAGGGACGGCCTTCACTAGAGTCATGAGGGAGTGAGGGAAGGACAGACACAGAGAAAAACCGGGGTCAGGTAACCTGGGTTCTCAGATGGAGAAGCCTCACCACCCCTGAGCTCAGCAGGGTTATTCCGCAGAGCTGAACAGGAAGACAGGCTTAGTTATTCTGGGTAAGAGCAGTCTCTGTAGTCTTCAGCCATAGACATTCAGGGAGAGAAAGCCATGGGGAAGACATTCTGCACACACCATCAACATCTGTACATGGGCCAAAGGAAGGCTTTGCCCTCCTCTGAGTCTCATCATTGGGGGTGGGAGGGGTGCCATTTTCCCATGGGTCTGAGGCTATGGACCTTGACGTGACCGGCTCATGTCAACAATACTCATTCACTTAGGACTTCACTCAGGGCTTCTACCTCTCCCCACAAATGTCTTTAAGAGGCAAATGGATTTTGCCTTGAATCATCAAAAGTGTTAACTATGTTAGCTGATTCCTAAAAATGCCCCAATTATGGGCCAGAGAGATGGCTCAGCAGTCAGGAACACTGGCTACTCTTCCTGAGGACCTGCGTTCAATTCCCAGCACCCACGTGGTGGCTCACAACTGCCCACAGCTCCAGTTCCAGTGGATCTGATGCCTTCTCTCTCTTCCACAGGTACCAGGCACACACGTGGTGTACAGACATACATAGAAGCAAAACACACACATACATTTTTAAAAAATGTCCCAGAGAGCTGTTTTGTGGGCTGTCCACCTAGCCCTGCTGAAGGGTAAAGATCGCTGTGCCTTTTATTTACTGCCTGTTCTTAACTGGTCACTGTGCTGCTGATCTGGGTTCGAATCCATCTGGGATTTGCACGCATGACTCTATCCCACAAAGGGAGCAGTATGTACTAGTCTCTCCCATAGGGAGGCTTGAGAATTGTGATCATATATGGCTAGGTGGTGTTTTCCATGGGTAGGGCTATGCATTTTAAGTCTGTATATGTTTTCATAACCTCTTCCTAACTTTAAGATGACAATAATACAATTGAAGTAAAAAAATAATTAAATTTTTTTTTGGTAATTTGAAGTGTTTTCATTAGCAACTTTATACAAACAGATCTTGCTGGTGAGTGGTGGCACACCCCTTTAATCCTGTCCCCTAAGTGGCAGAAGTAGGTCGATTTCTGTGAGTCTGAGGACCAGTCTACAAAGTAAGTTTCAGGCCAGATGGGGTGAGACCTTAAACAAACAAACAAACAAATGCATATATTAATACATATATATGCTGATATTTTATTTGTGCTGAAATGTAATTTTATTTGTATGTTAATAAAGTTGCCTGGAGATCAGAAGTCACAGGGAGCCATAAGCAGGAGTCAGGCGGTGGTAGCACATGCCCTTAATTCGATCACATGGCAGGCAGTCTCTGTGGCCAAGGACACATCCAAAGCAAGGTGACCTGAACTTTTAATCCCAGTACCAACCATAGAGACCTGGAGGTCTGTATAGACAGGCAGTGATGAGGAAATCATGTGGTTGGGTTTAGAACCAATGAGAAGGCAGAACAGAAAGGCAATAAAAAGATAGGACACGGGGCTGGGGATTTAGCTCAGTAGTAGAGCACTTGCCTAGCAAGCACAAGGCCCTGGGTTTGGTCCTCAGCTCTGGCAAAAAAAAAAAAAAAAAAAAAAAAAAAAAAAAAAAAAAAAATAGGACACAGGAAGAAGGTCTCTCTCTCTCAGGGGAAGAATGGCAGTGAGTGGTAAGATAAGGTAGTCTTAGCTCTTGACTACTGCTCTGATCCCTGGGTTTTTAACTCTGCATTTGGCTCTGTGTGTCTTCTTTAATAAGACCGTTCAGAATTTCATCTACACATATATGTATACATACACACATATCTATTTAGTTTATGTGTATACATATGTGCATTGGTATGCTAAGTGTATGTGGGTGCCAGAGGAGGCCCGAGGATGACATAGTGTATCTGGTAGGTTACAGTGTTAACTGACTAATGTGGGTGCTGGGAACCAAACTCTGGTTCCCACAAGAGCAGCAAGCACTCTTAATGGCTGAGCTGTCTCTGTAGCCTGGGGAAAAGGTCTTAAAAGATCAGTTCATTAAGGCAGGCATGGTGGTATGTGTCTGTAAACCCTAGCATTTGGGAGGCAGGTACAGGAGGAGAAAAAAGATATATTTTCTAAACCAGTGTTACAAATTAAAGCTTAAGAGAAATAATTAAGATTTTACCAGTTGGATAAATTGCTGTTCCAAACACATTACTTTCCAAATTTTATTCACATCATCCATATTTTATGAACTTATAAGTGACTTGCTTAGGTAATTTCCTGTTCAAATAATTTCTGGCTATATTATTTCCAATTATTTGCCTTATTACTAGGTTTTCTTATAAGGTTTAAATATTTGCTTAAGTAAAAAGTCTAAGTAGCTATGTACATGACTTTAAAAAATATTTTCTTAAAGAGAATTTCTATTTTATAGTGATTTTTCATAATACATATATTATTTCTCTCTCTCTCTCTCTCTCTCTCTTTTTTTCCATACAGGGGTTCTCTGTGTAGGTCTGGCTGTCCTAAAAGTCACTCTATAGACCAGATTAGCCTCAAACTTAGATATCTGCCTGCCTCTGTCTCCCAGTTAGATTAAAGGGGTGCACCACCAGGCCAGGTATTACATATATTATTTAAACCAAGTTGACAACTTATTCTTACATACTTTCAAGTAGGAGGCAAATAAACTAAAATATTGTATAAGTATTTGTTTTATGTACTTTATGGTATCAACACTGAATTTCACATTAAAATGCTATTATAATGGCTGCCTATAATCTCAGTATGTGCGTGGCAGAAGGATCAAGAGTTTTAGGCCAGAATGCATTACACGGTAAAACCTATTTCTAGAAAAAAAAAAAACTTTATTCAAACAACACAGAACTACACAGCATTGACTGTGAGGTCACACTATAATATCACTCTCCTAAAACCCAGTGTTCTGGAATGCAGGCTCTGCGTAAAGCAGGTGCCATCATTATCAGATTAGCTGGGTCTGCTTGGAAGGGTCTGTCGCAATCTGGCTGCTTGACTCCTGATATGCTCTCATAGGAGGAGGAGGTAGGATGGCTCGCTGGACCCTCATCTCAGAATCCAGCTGCTCCTCCCATCCATCTGTATGCAATTCTGCCCTACCTGTGTGGGTCTTAGAAGACGCTACACTATGTAGGCTAGGGGAAGACACCTCAGGGGGCCCTGTCAATGCAGCCATGGAAAAGCCATCAGCCATGCTGGGTGAAGACTTCCAGTGTGGCAGCTGTGAGGTCGGTCACCTGAACGGCAGCAAGTAGCCGCTTACCTGTGCTGTCTTAATTGGGGTTTCTATCAATGTGATAAAACACCATGATCAAAAGAAGCCACTTGGGAAAGAAAGGGTATGATTGTATTTTCACATCACTGTCCATCATTGAAGGAAGTCAACATTCCTCCACGGCTTCAGCTTCGGTTCCTGACTCCACTTCCTTCAATGATGGACTGTTGCGTGAAGGTACAGTTTACTCCTCATGACTTGTTTGGCCTTTCTTATACCATCCAAGACCACCTGCCCCAGCGTGGCACCTCCCACCTCAGTCATTAATGAGGAAAATGTCTTACAGACAGGCCTACCAGGCCAATCTTATGGAGGCTTTTTCTCAAGATTCCTTCTTCCCAGAAATGTTTAGGCCTGTGTCAAGGCGACAAAAAACAGCCAGCACATATGCTTTGTAAGTAAGCCCAAGAAACTCATTGGTTCCCGAGCAGAACTTGGGTGAAAAGGACTTTCGTTTGTCTTTGGGACCTTACGAAGAGGAAACAGATGTTATTTACATCTTGTCAGGAAGGGAATTCTCACAACAGCCTGTGTCTTCAACTTGAATATTCATGCTGGCTGAACGCCTCACTGGAAGGAGGCAGTAATTTTGTAGTTTGCTGCCACACAGTGGTGAAGAATGTGTTGCCATGCACAAAAACTGGCGGGAACTCACTGGCCTTGTTTTAACTCAGCACACATTTGTGGAGCTGGTTATGCTTGGCACTGCTCAGTTGCCAGGGACTTAAACATGGTCTCAGTATTGGGAAAATCCTAACGCTGTGGTTCTCAACCTTCCTAATGCTGCCACCCTTTAATGCAGTTCCTCATGGTGTGGTGACCCCCAACCATTTAATTATTTCATTGCTTCTTCATAACTGTAATTTTGCAACTATTATGAATTGCATTGTAAATATCTGATATGTGACCCCCAGGTTGAGAACCACTGTCAGGAACTAATTTATCAGGAGGTCTAATGAACATGCAGAAATAAGTGGTCCCGAGCTCAATTCCCAGCAACCACATGGTGGATCTGTCTATTATGGGATCTGGTGCCCTCTTCTGGCCTGCAGGTAAAACACTGTATACATAATAAAAATAAATTGTATACACAATAAAAATAAATCTTGAAAAAAAAATAGAAGTGACGTCAAGGCTTGTCCTCATGTGTGAGGAAGTTTCTAGCAGTGCCTTCAGGAATCTTGAGAAGGTCCTTCAAGTTGGAGACTGGTGTATGGGGAAGGCAGAGGAGACTGTCACACAGACTACAGCTTTCATAGGGACCGTGATATACATTACCTTGCATTGTTGGCACATTACTGTATATTATAATCCTGTATATTATAATCTGGGGGACTAGAATGGTGACTATGAAACTGGGAGGCTTTATTATGCTTTCTGTATGGAAAAAAAATTGTAAGAGAGCCTTGCCTTTGCCTGGACAGCTGACCTGGTTCTCAAGGTTGGCTTTACAACAGGTAGCAACTGTGCAGGAAATCAAAGCCTTATCTTGTGCTCTGTAAAGGCTGGATTTTCATCATTCAAATGTCCTTATGAATTAAAAAAAATTAATCGTATCTGAAAACATTCTACTAATTATTTTTAAAAAAAATCCACCTCCTTTCTCTAACTCAAGGGAATTTGTTTTCTAGAGACAGAATCCAGGGTCCTCAATCATGCTAGACAGGTACAGTGAGTTGAAACACCAGGTCTCTCTCTATTTATTTATTTATTTATTTATTTATTTGTTTGTTTATTTTCTTCCTCCTTCCTCTCCTTTCCTTTATCCTTTCTCCTTTCCTTTCCCTTCCTTTCCTTTCTGAGACAAGAGTCTTGCTAAGTAGCTCTGGATAGCCCAGAAGCACTTCCTGTGTGGACCAGGCTGGCCTCAGAGACTTGCAACATTTCTCTTGTTTTTGCTTCTTGAATACTGGGATTTCAAGCGTGTGCCACCTCGCCTGGCAAAGTGATTATTTTATATATTAAAGTATAAATGAAAGCAAACTTAAATGATGCAGTAGAAATAGGATAGAGAAAAAAACATAAAAAATAATCTACATGTGCATATTTTTATTTAATATTATAAATACTCCTAAAATCCTTTAAAATTTCTCCTAAATACAGTTTTAGAAATACAGAAGTTTTTTTAAATCACATTTTGTGTGCACGTGCACACACACATGAGCATGTGTAAAAGAGGACAAATTCTGGGAGTCACTTCTCTCCTTTTACCGTGTGGGACTGAATTTAGATCACCAGACATGGCAGCAAGCACCTTTGCCCATCCACTATCTCTCTGGCCTCACGGTTACTTAAACAACAACAACAACAAAAAATAATAATAATAAAAGCCTTATGGTTCAGATTCATGCTCCTGGGTTTTGAAAAACGAAAAGCAAAGATTTTAAATCAGTTACAACTTGTAAAAGCACCGAGGTCCCTATCCAAATCAAGACTACTTTCTCCACATGCGTCATGATTTCGACCTTTCAAACCAACCCTTTTCTTGTCCTCACTTCCTCTAGGAATCACTCTTCTATTTATCTCCTCGTTTGCTCATAAGCACCGGGAGTTGCCTCTGCTGGCGTCCCTCAGCATTGATAAGGCATTCGTTTTTAGGACTTCTCCCTGCAAAACAATGTCAGAATCCGAGGCTGTTCAAGGCTCTGTAACTAGTGTCCAGAGTGGTAATATCTCAATAGAACCGGTGCACATTCTTCCACACAGTTGAGTCATTTCTAGATTACATACAATACCCAATCCAACGTGAGCGCTATGCACATCCACTGTCCACTGTATTGTTTAGGGAACAATAAAGCGTGCACAATTTCTTTACAGACCTATTCTTCTGCCTCCAAAATGTTCACCATCTACAGTTGTTTGAATGTGCAGATGCCACTTGTGAATGGTCTAAGGGTCACTGTACTTTGTCTGGACAGCTCCTCTTCTTTTCCTCTCATATTGATTCAAACCTGCTCCAAATTAACCTCTGTCCCAACCTCTCCACAGATGCGACCACATCCTTCCTTTGCTCAGGCTGGAAATCTTAGAATCATTTTTGACTCATTCTTTTTCTTCCCACCTCTACCCGATCCTTTGAAAAGCCTTCTTAGCACTACTTTGAATTTTATCTAACTTTTGTCCATTCTTCCCACTCTCCAGTGGGTTGAGCAACTGGTACTTTGTTGTCCTAATTCATAGACTAGCCTCCTCACTGGTTTTCCTGTGTTTACTAAGGCCTCTTCCCAACTAAGTAGTTCAGTGATTCATCGGAAATGTAAATTTAATTTCATTACTTTTCTGCTCAGAAGGACTCTCTATTTCACTTAACATGAAAAGTCAAGTTCTCACAATGATTTGTAGGCTTCACATAATATGAACTCCTTAATCTCATTTTCTAGAACTTAACTGTACTCTTGGCTCCAGGCAGCATCCTTGCTGATCTCCAACAGGCAAGTGCTTGCCATAGGACTTTGGTACTGTGTGTTCTTTCTGTATGGAATGCTTTCCTCTCCTCTGGGTGTCTACATCTCTTGCAAATCTGCTCAGTGCATCTACTTGGCCTATCTGTTCAAAATGACAACAAAACTCTGCTACATTCTTAGCTCTGTTCCATTTACCTTTTTCTACAATATCTCCCATTGTGTAGAAGAAGGGTCACAATGTCTGTTTCATATTTTCAAATACATTAGTAAGGAAAAAGTGGTTAGGATCCATTGAGAGTTATATACTAATTAGAGTGGGTTGGAAGCAATATATATTAAACACACATATACTTAAATTTTTTTTTTCTTAAGCAAGACCTCTCTACCTAGCCCTGGCTTTTCTGGAACTCACTATGTGCTGCAAGCCGCAATAATACGAAGTAGGATTTCAGCTGATTATGACAAGGTAGTACCTGGAAGAAGCCAAGGGCCTTCCAGGGGTTAAGCTGAGGCTCAAGGAGCCTTGGTGACATCAACTTTTGATTATTAGCCTGCTATGAATTTCTCATGTGCTATTGTGGGTTTTCCATCATTTATTGGGCACTTCCCCTCTCTACTAAAGGAATATTTGGATAACCTTCTGTGCAATGACGCAGCCAGGATCCCTAATTTCAGGCCTTTCTGTCATTATCGTCATTAGCAGCATCTGGCCAGGACCATCCCTGGATGGACGAGAGTACCTCTGTACTCTCTAAGAACAGACTTAAGCATCCAGACTATCTGTTTGAGAAGGCCTGGAGGATGTGCTAATTAAGCTTAACTTTCTCCCTTTCCAAAGTCTTATCTCTAGTTTTAGATCTACCTTTAACTATTAACTCCGAACTAAAGGGCCTTTACTTACAGGTCCATCCAGCTGACTCAGGCTGCCCAGCCACCAAGTACACTCCCCTGCCCTGCCAGAAAACAGTAGTCAGGATAGCTTGGGCAGATAAGGGGCCAAGGAAAACAAGGCAGTTTTACTTTCACTCACCACTGATAGACTCCTAACACTTTAACTAACCACTTCTAAGAATATAGTTGAGCACATAAAATCCACCTTGCTCAGATATTAACTGAGTTTAGCCCTCAGTTGATTTTATTCCCCATTAGTCACTTCCTTTTTGGGTTGCAGGTGAAGGCTGGCAATTACTGCTCTTTTGTGTGGATCTTATTGCCCCTCCTTGACCCTGAGGGAATTCAAGCCTGGTGACCTTACCTTAACCAGAGTATTGCTATTGCATGGGTATATAACTGTAAACCTCAGAGACTTGGGGGGGATGAGATGGAGAGGAGAAAAGAGAATGGAAGAACTAGATGGGTAAGAACTAGAGAGGAACAAACTGAGATGGGGAAGAACTAGATTGAAGGGCTAGAAGAGAGTACTAGAGGAACAAGATGGAAGATGAGGAAGAGCCAGATGGGGAAGAACAAGATGAGGAAGAAGGAGATGGGAGAGGAACTAAGATGGGAAAGTACTAGATGAATGAGAACCTAGATGGGGCAGAACTAAAGATAGAACTTAGAAGACAACAGATAAATGTAGAGATAAATCAGGAGAGAAAGGAGCTAAGTAAGAGAGCAAAATGGAGCTGTGTAGAGAAAGAACTGACTCAGAAGAATAAAGTGTATGGACTAAAGATATATGTAGATTCATTTCATATCATCAAAGATTAGATTATCAGCTGGTTGTAGATTCTTCCCAGACCCTGGAAGAGGACTATCGAGGGGCTGGACCCCAATAGTCCTCAATAACTATGTAGACCAGGCTGGCCTTGAACTCACAGAGATTCATGCACCTCTGCCTCAGCAGTGCTGGGATTAAAGGCATGGGCCTCTATGCCCAGCCCTTACAAAGTTTTCTGGAGACAGGGTTTGCATTAGATACTTGTCTTGTTGCTACAATAAAACATTCCGTGAAAGGTTTGTTTTGGCTCCCAGGCCAGCACTGTGGGGAAGTCTGAGGAAGCTAGTCACATTGACTACATTGTCAGGAAGCAGAGAGCCATGCTCTCTAGTGCTCACTCACTTTCTGCTATTTAATTCAGTTCAGGACCCTGACCATGGGACGACGCTGCCCATACTAGGGTAGGTTGTCCCTCTCAATTAATCTATCTAGACAATTCCTAACAACCCTGCCGAAAGACTAACCTAATCTAGATAGTCCTTTACTACAGGCATGTCTTTGTCTTTTAGTTGATTATACATACTAATTAATCAGCATTAATTCTAACAGGGCCTCATGGAGTCTAGGAAAGCCTTAAATTCTTTATGTAGCTGAGGCTAACCCTGAACTCCTGGTTCTTCTGCCTTTACCTTCTAAGCGTTATGATACACACAAACCACTACATTAAGCCTTAAAATGTTTAAAATAATACATGTAAGCCGGAACTGGAGACACAGACCTGCAATTATAACTGTTTGGGAGGATGAGGCAGAAAGACCACAAGTTTAAAGGCTTACCTGGATAGCTTTTGAGACACTGTTTCAAAACACAAAGCAAAAGGTCTGGGATAGAGGACCTCAGTGGTAGAGTACTTGCTTAGAATGCGGGAGGCCCTAGGCTCAATCCTCAACATTGCAAAGCAAAATGATAAAAATTATGTTTATCAGAATCAAGAAAACACAGTCTAAGAACTCCTGATTAATATTTCAAAATGTTTGTTGTGTTACAGGAAGTCCACCAGAGATGAGCACTCAGACACTGTTTATAGACAACTGAAAGTCTTTTTCTAGCCATCTGGGACTACACTCAGGTATTCAAGACTCAAGTGTGGGCCTGAGTGTCCAGAGCATGGGGTTTTTGAAGGTAAAATCCAGGTCTTGGCATCTCACTCAGCAGGTGCAGGGGCTTTGCTAAGCAGTTCGCTGCAGGGGGTTTTGCACAAGCAGGCAGTTTAACAGAAGCTAAGATAAGCTAGCCGTGGCATCTTGACCCTGGGTTCCTAGAATAGAGTTGGGTAGTTTTCCATGGGCTTCTCTGTCAAGGAGATCAAATTCTAGATAAGCCTGAAATGGCCTCAGCAAGCATTCAAGATGGAGGAACCTCTGCACTGTCTTGCCTTGTTACATTCCCTACTGGTTCTATGGACTTGAGTCAAATGGTTAACTTATGTTCTAGGGGGGCACAGATGGTCCTAAGGACCAGTTGCTTAACTGACTTTATTTTCTGTGATGTAGTTTGTCATGTAGTTGAGAATGCAGGGTTCAATCATTAGCCTGATCAGAATAAAAAGTAACAGTCCAGCTAATACTTATGGTTAAGGTGGTCAGCCATGGGGACCAGGGAAACAAAGGCTGACACCATTTTTTTTCCCCTTTGAGCATGACAAGTTTTCCATAATTACTTGTAGTAGGACAGGCCCATAGGGTCGAGGAAATTGGCTCAGACCAGTAGCCAAGGCATGCACATAACATACTCCTCAAGAGGCAACCTGGAGTCTGTCTGAGGGCCTAGCAACAGGAGCTGTCAAGAGTTCCTGGTCGCTGTCAGAGTTCCTGATTGTGTCCAGGCAATAAGGGATGACTACACAGACTGTGCACTGGGAGGAGGGTATATAAGGCCTTCCCTGTTATTGAATAAATGAGTTGTTATTTGCTTTCAATGGACCCCTGGTGTCTGTGTCGTTGACACCATGCCTACTCCCCCTACTCCCCCAAGGGAGCCATTAGAATTCAAGCAAAAATCACCCCAATTGGTTGGCATGGAAACAGCAATTTTCTCTTAAAGCTGTGAAAAGTCCTGTTTCAAAAAAAGGGGGTCCAGCCTCCTTCAATTCTGTAGGACTACTTTTGTGGGGGAGTTAACTTGGCTCTCCAGCCTGGAAACAGAATTCTCCAAATGATCTAGGTCTAAGTCTGTCTAGAATCTGAGTTCCTTAAAGTCTTTGTCAGATTTTAAGACACTTTGGTTGTGAAGGCCAGGCCAATGTCAGACCTCAAAGCTCAGTGCAGTCCAAATCTAGGAATTATTTCCTGAAGAAATTTCTTAATAATTATTGGAGTCGTCTCTGTTAGGGTGGGGTAGGCCTCCATCCATCCTAAGACGGTATCTACAAATGCCAGCAAATATTTATAGCCAAATGAGTAGGACTGATTTCAGTAAAGTCCAACTCCCAGTGCTCCCTGGGCCCATTTCCTGGAGCCCAGATCCCTTGTAGGATCTTCCTTCCCCATTTGGGGTTTACCTGAGCACAGGTGGCACATCTAAAAGTGGTGTCTCTAACCAGCCTTTCCAAATTTGAAACATAATACTTGGGAATGAGGAGTTCAGCAGTTTTCCTGGTCCCTAGGTGAGGGCTTCATGGAGATCCCCACCAGTTGCCTTCCCAGACTCTGTCCTGCAGCATCTACCAGCCTTGTTTATGATGTCTGGCCGCTTCTTGTTTGGCCCATTCTGGGTGGTCCAATAAGCAGGGCTCAGGCAGGGCTATGAAGATTTGGAGTGTCCTCACTGGCTTTAGGACCATGTCTTGTGGTGGCCAAGCCAGCCACTCTGTTGTTTTTTGGCCTCTGGGGAATCTCCTTTTTGGTGTCCAATGAACAATGGCTGCCCTCTTGAGTAATCAGATAGCTTCCGATAGGGCTAAGATTTCTTCTCTATTTTTGATTTCTTTTCCTACTGGGGTTAGCAATCCTCTTTCCCTATGGGCATGGGCCATGGTGAAAGTATATCTGCTGTCAGTATTTATGGTAAGAACCTTGTCTTTCCCAGAGAAGTGTCAAAGGTGAAGTTCAGCAGCTTGTTGAGCTGAGGTTCCCCTACTTAAAGACTATGCCCACATAGTCTTCTTTTGGATCAACACTGCTGCCCCTGCACACCTGATCCCATCTTGGACGAAACTGCTCCCATTGGTGAACAATACCTCATCTGGTTTTGTCAATGGGACGTCAATCAGATCAGTTCAGTAACCTCCGAGGAGTTGTCTGGTTCCTAGGAGACTGGCAGGGTTGAGGGCTAATGTCTTATGGAACCAAATGTGGGGTTGATCAAGAAGCAGGGCTTTTTGTTGGGTCACTTGGGCATTAGACATCCATCTCTCCCGTGTTCCCCTCAAAAGGGCCTCAACAGAGTGTGGGGCTGTCAGGAATAGTTTGTGTCCTAAAGTTAATTTGTCTGATTCTTTTACCAGCAAGGTGGTGGCAGTAATGGTGGCCTTTATAAATGCTGCCCATCCAGCTGTGACCAGATCAAGTGTCTTGGACAGACATGCCACCGGTCTTTTCCAGGGTCCCAGGGTTTGTATGAGGACCCTCTAGACAATGCCTCTGGCCTCCTCCATGCACAAGTGGAAAGGGTTAGTAATTTCTGGGAGGACCAGGCCTGGGGCAGACACCAGGGCCTTTTTCAAGACTTTGAAGGCCCTCTGCTCAGTCTCAGTCCATTCTAAAGGCTGGGTACCCCTGGTGTTGGTAGAGAGGGCCTTGGCTGTCTCAGCAAACCTCATTATCCATGGCCAGCACTATCTAACCACCCCCAGGAATTCCCATACTTTTTTTTTTTTTTGATCAGGGAGCAGGGATTTTCTTCAATTTCTCACTCTGTCTGCCATGTTTGAGTCTGTGCTCCAGATTTCTCCTGCTTTTTCATTAACTGGCAGAGAAAATAAACAGAACCCAGACCCACAGACCATATCATTTCAGAACCCCTAGCGTGTATCAGTAGTCTGTTATTGTTAGGAAAACCCCAGGCACCTCAAAAAGGGCAGGCCCGCTGACCTGGTCCAAAATAACAGTCTTGGTTCAGCACATGCTGGGCTATAAGATTGCTGGCTGACATTTCCAGCATTCCTCAGGAATTTGTGAAACCATTTCTGTCTGCTAGGAAGAGCTTTTTCCCTATTTCCCCTTCCTCCGGCAGATGAGACCAAAGCTACTTTTTGCATACCAAAGTTAATGCTAGCTCCAGACCCCTCTTGCACTCCTTTTCCCATATACTTGTTATACATCTCAGCATCCAAGCTAGCATCCTGGCCCTTTGTACTTCTTCCTCTACCCTAAACTGCCCGGCAGCTCCAGTTCATAGACCTCCCTTCCCCGAAGCTACTCATCCTACTTACAACTCACATGCTTTTTCCATGCCCTGCTTCTCTATCCATGGCCATGTCTTTCTCTCTGTCCCCCTCTCTCATCTGGACTCCTTTAGAACAAATGTCCAGAGGCACGAGCATGACTGCATAAATGTAGTAGAGAACGGCATATTACGTTAACTGTGAAAGAATTATCATCACCCATTTTTAGGTGGGTGACCCGAAAAACTGCCCAAAGATGCTAATCGGTGGATAATACACACAAAATCAAACAAATGACAAGCTATTGTTTAGTGATACACGAGGCAAAACCACAAAGAAATACAAAGCACAGTAATATAAAATTGAGGGGAAAAAAAATCAAAGGCTTAAAACATCCACTTGATGAACCAATTTTTCAATATCCCGCCCCCACCTCCAATGCGCCTCCAGATAGCATCTTGTCTGTTCTCTAATCTTGTTCCCTGCCCTAGCTCCTACTGCCGTGATAGGTCTCTAATTCTTACTCCTTTTTTAAGGACTGGACTGCGAGACAGCTTGTGAGCTGTGTACAAGGTACACCCTTTGAGGCAACTTTCCAGGCTCGGTCGGTGGAGTTCATCAAGTCGTTGCTAGCCGCTTCAGTTCACTCCAGGGCCCAACCGTCCCCGCGGGTAGTTTTTGCCCCGCCTCTGGGCACAGTGAGTGTGGAAAGTCTGGGTTGAGGCAGAAATGTCGGCCTGACACCTAGAGGTGCGGAGGCTGCAGCCCTGCCACCCAGAAGAAGGTAAAGCGTGACACACACATACACACACACTGACGCCAAGCTCTGATGTCGCGGTCAATCCAAATTCACTCGCAAACGCCCCCTCTGATGACGTCACGACCACCCCGCGCTTCTGATTGGAGGAACGGCGTCCGGCTACTCTCGCGACATCTCCTTGCCAGATTCCCGGTCTGCCTCCCCGCAGCGGGACCGGTGGTGCAGCGCGAACCACGTTAAAGCCGGGACGCTGCAGACGAGACGGGCTTCCGGGACTCGTCCAGAGGCGGCGACTCTTTGCCGACGTCCCCGGGCACGAGGTTTGGCTCGCGGGCGTGCTGCCTGCCGGGCGCGCGGGCGCGTGGGACCGACTCTCCACGGCGCGGCCGGGCCGGCTTGCAGGGCCCCGCGAGGGTGCCCGCCGTGGCCCTGCGGCGTTGCCAGCCTCTGGCGTGGGTCGCTTAGGTCTCCATGGAGACAGCCCTCTAACCACTTTTACGTCTGTCATTCTGTCATTCTTGGGGCTCCACGTGGGAGTCGGAAAGATGTAGGTGGGAGGGAAGCTGCAAATGGTACCTAAGAGCAGGAACGCACCGGGCTGGACAGGGTGGATTTTACGCATTGGGGAGGCCCAGTTCACCAGGACACACGTTTATCCATAGAACACGCAGAATCACCGAATCTGTTTTTTGAGCAGCCCCTAGGACTCCGGGATCAAATACTGCTGCAAACTGGCCATTTACCTGAATTGTCTCCGCAGTGTCCTCCTTCAGTGCCTTCTCACTTGATACGCGGGCTGCTCGTTTAGGAAATTATTTCCTTTTTTTTTTCCCCCTAAATTTAACGAAGAACTTCAAATTCTTTCCTTGTTGTATGTCTAGCTTTGTTCATTCTTAACTTTTTGGTGGGCTGCTCTCTTGCCTTTAATGTAGTGATTTGTTGTCCAAATGGACTATAGATTCTTTAGTAGCAGGAGCACCCTGACACTTGGCTGTAGCGTGTACTTTTAGGTAACAGGTGGTCCATCTTTCTGCCATTAAAGGTATTTGTCCCTTCCAGAATGTCTCTAGCAAATGTTAATTCCTTGGTTTTGTTCAAAAAAATGTTTATAAAGCATCTACATGCCTGAATGGTGAACGAGTGAGAATTAAAACACTGAACACATCATTAAAATGGCCACCTTCATGGAGTTTACTACTAGGAAAAACAGATGGTGTACAGATGTGCAAATTAATGTAATTTCAGGTAGTCATACCTGCTGTAAAAAAATAATGGAAGTGGTGTGTGTATCAGAGTGATGACATTTTAGATAAAGTTTCAGAAAACTTCTCTTGGGTGGTATTTAATCACAAACTTGGAGAATAAGAAATAGGTCTTGCCATATGTGTGGGACAGAGCATTAATTGGCAGATCTGGAAGTTTCATAGGTGATGTTAAGCATCAGGAAATGTGAGAGTTCTTAAGGTGGCAGAGTAGACTGATTTGAAATGAGTAGCAGAGGAAGCTGGGGCCAGGTTGTTTTCAGGCTTGTAAGTGCCAACACCCGAATTTGGACATTAGTAATTAATAAATTGCATTTAGCGCCATTGGAAACCCTTGAGAAGTTTAAGTTAAGTGCGAGGTTAGACTTCGTTTAGTTTTTTGTTTGTTTGTTTTGTTTTTTGTTTTTCAAGATAGGGTTTCTCTGTGTAGCTTTGCGCCTTTCCTGGAACTCACTTGGTAGCCCAGGCTGGCCTCGAACTCACAGAGATCCACCTGCCTCTGCCTCCTGCGTGCTGGGATTAAAGGCGTGCGCTACCACTGCCGGCATTCGTTAGTGTTTTTAAAGGATTACTTTGATGATTGACAAGAATGGATTCTTGGAGCCGGGCAGGCAGTTAGGAAGCTGTGTCAGGAGTATAGGTGAAAGATATCGAGTCAGTTTCTGCCTGGGAGAGTCTGAAGGTAGTCCACTCCTCATTGGACCACAGAGGTCTCCTTTGACAAGCTCTCATCAGCTTTCTAATCCTTCAGTGGGACAAAAGAAATCTCCCCTTCAAAGCAGGGGACTATTTTAAAGACTGTATAGTAAAACCCCATTTCACACAACAGCAGCAAAACCGCTAAACAAACAAACAAGCAAACAAAGCCCAGTTTTTCTTTTGTAAACCAGATAACCCAGTTCAGTGATTCTCAGCCCGGGGCAGTTGTACCCTCTCATAGTGGCACTGTTGGGAGACATCTATTGGTTGTCTTAACATGTTGATACTCCTGGCATCTGATGGGGTAGAGACTGGGGAAGCTTTAAGCATCCTATAGTGCATAGGACAACACCCTCAACTAATGCTCTTATGGCTCATATGTTGCAGGAGAAACCCTCCACTGGCCCAATGTCTTAAGCTATTCTTTCTTACAGAGACTACTGTCGGTCCTGTCTAAAATGGGTGTGAAGAAGAAAAGAGAAACGCAGGTCGCTGCATTGACTGTTTGTCAGGAGGACCTGAAAACTTTGAGATGTATGTGGTTTTTAAATTTCATTTGTTTGATGAATGAATTTGCAAGTTTGCAAGCAGAGTATTTGAATTTTTGGGACCCTGTAGAGTATAATGCTGAAATTCTTCCTGCTTCATTTTTCTTTTTTTTTTTTTTGCATTCAGTTTTGGGTAAAAATAGTTTTGTTAAATATTATATTCCTTTAGACTGATTTTTCCTTGCTATTTTGACCTATATACTTTTTTAAAGAAAGATTTATGTATGTATACACCATGTGTGTGTGTGTGCCTGAAGCCCACAGAGGTCATAAGAGGTAATCAAATCCCCAGGAACTGTAGTATGGAGGGTAGTGAGTTGCCACGTGGATGCTGGGAACTGAACCTGGGGTCTTCTAATGTCAGAGCCTCTATGTCTGCTTTTACTTTGTTATTTCTCTCTCTCTTTCTCTTTCTCTTTCTCTCTGTCTCTCTCTGTGTCTCTGTCTCTGTCTCTCTCTCTCTCTCTCTCTCTCTCTCTCTCTCTCTCTCTGTGTGCGCGTGCGTGCATATGTGAGTCAATTTGACACAAGCTGGAGTCATCTGGGAAGAGAGAAGCTCCATTGAGACAATACCTCCATCAGATTGGTCTGGGGGGAGGGAATTTTCTTGATTAGTGATTGATGTGAGAGGACCCAGCCCATTGTAGGCAGTGACACCCTTGGACAGGGGTCCTGGGTTGTATAATAAAAGCAAGCTGAGTAATCCATGTGGAACAACCAGTAAGCAGTGTTGCTTCCGTGGTCTATGCTTCGGTCCCAGCTCCAGGTCCCAACCTTGACTTCCTGCCCTGACGTCATTAGTGGTGGGAGTTGTGACTTCGACTGTGACCTGGGAGTTGTAAGATAAACCCTTTCCTCCCCAGTTTGCTTTTGGTCACGGTCTTCTCACAGCAGCAGAAAGCAAACTAAGCCAGTATGTGTCTGTGTGGACGTACACATGCCCTCAGACAGGTGGAGAGGTCAGAGGACGGCTTTTCGGAGTCAGCTCTCCTCCCCCCTCCACTGCATGGCTTCTGGGGTCACACTCGGGTCAGGCTTGGTGGCAGCCGCCTTACCTGCTAACCCATCTCACTGCCCTGGCTTACGGCCTTAGCAGTTTTGTAGAATGTAGAAGAAAGGTGATATCAGTCCGTGTGTAGTTACAGCAGTAAGTTTTTGTTTGTGTTCCTTAGCTTTTGCTGACGCAGAAGGGAAAAATCTAGCCTCATTGCTGTTACGTTGCGTACAACTCACGGACGGAGTGTCACAAATCTATTATATTAAACAGGTAATGCTGAGTTTTTGTTCATGATTATGTCTTGAATATTACCATGCTGTTAATGGATTTTAAAAATTAACTGACAGTTTCTGGCTTCGGTTATTTAATGCCAGTTTATCACCAAATGATAGTTTTTCCTTTTTATGTTCATTGTATAATGCCCTTTTATTCAGAGAAGCAATAGAAACAGTATCTAAGCTTCTACCGTCATTGGGACTATAAGTAGACAAGAGATAATTGTGTGTAATTTCTTTTTTAATTTTCATTTTTTTGGTTTTTTGAGACAGAGTTTCACTGTGTAGCCCTGGCTGTCCTGGAACTTACACACTCTGTAGACCAGGCTGAACTTGAACTCAGAAATCCACTTTTTTCTGCCTCCCAAGTGCTGGGATTAAAGGTATGTGCCACCACTACTCAGCAATATATTTTTTTTAAATTATTATTAATTTTGAATCTTCAAAACTTTTTGGCAGGCACATTTGAAAGTTAATTTAAAATATAGATTGCTCTTATTTGTATTTCAGAATTTAGACTTTCCACACGTGCACACTTTGAAATCAGTTAAATATATTGCTCACTTTTTTTTTTTTTTTTGGTTTTTGGGGACAGGGTTTCTCCATGTATTTTTGGTGTCTGTCCTGGATCTTGTTCTGTAGACCAGCCTAGCCTCGAACTCAAAGAGATCCGCTAGCCTCTGCCTCCTGAGTGCGGAGATTAAAGGCGTGCGCCAACATGCCTGGCTTATTACCCACTTTTAAAGAGCGCTATAGATTTTCTGTATTGCTGTGCCTTAGGCATGTGACTCTCAGTGTGAGTGGGTCAGGAAGTAAAGAGGGAGGGACATGCGTTAAAGGTTTATAAATACTGGAATCAGGCTGGGAATGTCCTCTGTTGGTAGAGTGATTGCCCTGTTCTGGTCCTCAGCACCACATAAATAGACATGGTGACACATGTCTGTAGTCTCTACTCTCAAGAGGTAGAAGCCAGAATATCAGAAGGTCAAGGTCACTTTCCCTCTTCCCTTCAAAGGAAAGAAAAACGACTTAAAAGAATATTTGTAATCATCTTAGTTTGATGTATTTGATATTAGAAAGAATTGTTTTGAATTTTTTTTTTTAATTATAGATTGTGCCTGTCCTGGAGAAGGTAGATAAAAATGGTGTGTATGATCCTGCTATTGAAAATTGTTTGAGAATTATAGCAAGCATTTATTTTTCCTTGACTCTGAAGAATCCCTTGAAGAAAGTCTTGGCGAGGTAAGGAAAGGAAGGAAGATAAGTTGAATGCTACAAGAAATAGCTGGGGCCTGGGGATCCACTTCAGTGGTGGAGTGCTCACCTACCTAGTAGGGAGAACCCTGGGTTCCATCCCCAGCACTTAAAAAAGAAAAAAGAAAAAGCAAAGTTCATTCACTGTTTTGGTAAAATTAAACTATAACACTACAAGTTTTATTTATACTATCTATCCATGTATCTGTCTGAGGTCTTTAGAAAGCAAAAGCCTTAGGTTTTAGGATTTAAAAAAACAAGCTGTACCTTTGTTCTGTGGGTCCCAGTTCACAGATTGCTGGGTCAGTTCTTTTGCCTGGATGTTTAAATCTATCATACCTTTTCTCTGTCCCCATCTATTCTAACACAGATAGTACAGGAGTATATCCTTTGTATAAAGTAGGCCTGAATTCCACCATTTCTGCCATGTTTCATTTTCTTTAGGAAAGGGTTTTCACTTTAATTTTGGTTTTTGTTTTTTGAAACCTTTTCTTTGGGTTTAACATATATACTATGTTTTAGTTTTAATATTTTTACCTAAGTGGGATTATACTCTACACAGTACTCTGTAGTTGGTTTATTTACTAAAGAATGTCTTGGAGGGCAGATGACATGACTCTGTGTGTCAGGGTAAGTCTCATCAAGCCTGGTGGCCTAAGTTTGATCTCTGCCTCCTACATGGTAGGAAGAGAGAACCAGCTCCTGCAAGTTATCCATGTTCATATGTGTGCTGTGGTACCTACCCATGTGTCCTCCTCAGTAAACAAGCACATAGAATAGTAAGAGAAATTTCTGTATCAGGATAGCCCCTTTAAAATGTATTCACTTATTTTCATTTTGTGAGTGAGTGTTTTGTCTGTATTTATTTCTATGTACATACTCCATATTATGATATGTCCAACTGTGAATCATGATGCATATTATTTGGTTTATTTAGTCTCCTTGCCACTGATGACTATCTGGTGTTTTAGATTTCACTATTCCAGAAGTGCTGCAGTGATAGTCTGTGTGTACATAAAGTGTGTGTAATCATGTGCATGAATGACTGGAGGGGGGTTGTAGACCGTTTTGCAGATGTTGACTGTACTTCCCCTAAGCTATTTATTAACACTTCTCCAGCTGTGAGTGACACTACTTATTTCTGTGTCTCTCCAGCACTGATGACACCAGTTTTTACATTTTTATAATCTGAAGATGAGAAATGCTCTTTTATTATCACTTACATTTCCCAGATTATTAATGTTAACTTGGTGCTGGGGTTTGACCCCATGGGGTTTTGCATATTAGGCAGATACTCTCCCACTGAACTACATCCCCAACTCATGGTTGAACATTTTGTGATGTGTGCAGTTTGATTACCTTTTAAATTATATCTTTTCATTGTCTTATAATCTTTTCTTGATTTATAAGTGCTCTATATAAATTATGTGCCAAAATGTATTTTTTCCGCTTTCTGCATGATATATTGTCTTTATAAAATTAAAAAAGATCATGACCCTAATAATACTTTTCATTATATATATTTCTAAATTTTATGCCTTGCTCATTTTATGCTCTTTCTAATTCAAGATTGTTATTTCCTGTCTTACTTTTTTTGCTCAGTTTTAAATCCATCTAGAATCAAGTTTTGAGGATTGGGTGAGGTGGGGTCTAGTTTAGTTTCTGTTTCATATAGAATCTCTGTTATCCCCAGACTTTTGGCTCATACATTTCCCTTATATTTGGAATACTCCTCGTCGTTATGTATTTTTATAAAAACTCAGGTTTGATTATTTTAGACTTGTGTGTGTTTGTTATACCAATACCACTCTTCTTTTACTATTTTGATACTATGATTCAGTTACACAGAGTTAGTTACCTTTCTACTGAGTTTTCTTTTTTGGACTATTCCAGTTTTTAGATTATTTCTTCTAGAAGAGTAGTGATTATTTGTGCTTATTAGTGCATCTGTATGTGGAGCTTGTTTTGATTTAACTGGACTAATATTGGCATAACTTTCTATTAAGGAAATTTTTGTTGAGTACTGTGTTCCAAGGACATTTATAGGAATTGAGGTTAAAATGAATAGAACAGCTTAGATTTTTAGAATCTTAGATGCTAAGGGGAAAATGGAAAAGTCAGCACCATGTGCAGGAGAACATGGCCAGAGACTGAAGAAAAGGAGAGCTGAGAGTGGAGGAAGGGGGGGCCAGCGTGGACTGTCGGTCTGACGTGTGGTTGGCCACATCTCGCCTTCCTTCTCTTGGGGTGGGTGACTTTGAGACCGAACGACAAGATTTGAGGTGTTTGAAGAAAGAGTGTTCTGGATGGAGGAAATAAGTGAAGATTTTGATAGATAAGCTCTCAGAACAAGGAAGAGTCATCTAGCCAGAGTTAAGTGATTAAGGATTGAGATGAGGGCTAATGGTGAGGGGAGAAAGGCAGGTTTTGAAAGGCCTTGTGGGTTATTGTGAGCTATGCTTATTAGTGCAGCTGTATGTGGAGCTTGTTAGAGGATCACAGGTAGATAGATGGTACAGACTTGTTTTCTTTATGTGTCCTTTGAATGACAGAGAAAACAACTGTCTATATAGCTTCCGTATTGCATTAGGCATTACAAACAACTTAGAGATGGTTTAGAGCGCATGGGAGAATCTGCACAGGGTGTAATGCAAATGCTCTGTGTGTTATACAGGAGGTTGAGCATCCCCCAGTTTTTTCCCTGGTTGGTCCTGAAACCATCCTCATAGTAAATGCTGACTGCATGGTGCTGTTGCTCTGGCTACTCTGTTGAGAGAAGGCTTGGGGAGCAGAAACGGCAAAATGGAACCAGGGACGAGAAATGGTAGATCAGTGAATTTCGGTGGTGGTGGTGCAGGGTTATAACTTTGGGGCTATGTTTTGAAGGTGTGATTCAGTGTTTAACATTTGTATATTCTCCGCCCTCCATACTTAGCCCAGTAATAGAAGCTTTTCATCCTTTGTTTCTTTTTTGCAGCTCACTGAATGGCCTACCTGAATATTTTGTAACTGATGCTACATACTGTTTTATTTTTTACCTTCAAGAAGACTTAGAAACTTCTGACTTATATGCTTATAGAAAAATAATGGACAACATATCTTCCTGCCTGGAGAACTTTAATGTGGGTAAGCCAGCACTTTTCAGTGCCTTTTCCTGCTAATGTCTGTCACCACATCACCTTTTTAAAACGGTCATTTTGGCAGAAGCTCCTTAACATTGTTCTTTTCCCACCTGCAGGTACAGCATGTGTTGTTTATCTGCTTAAAAGTGGTAAGTCTTGATATTTTCTTTTGCGCTGAGTTGTTTTAGAGATGACTTCCAGATAACTAAAGTAGACCATACCCTTTGCAGTTCCTGCTTCGCCATGACGTCATTTTTGGTCGATATTTTATGATTTCCTGGTACTGAAGCTGAAACTTAGTTTGGAGCTCTGGTTTGTCATTCTGTTCTTTTTCTTTCAGTGCTTCGTTTTCTCTACAAGAGTTTAACTGACATCCTGGAGGAAAACAGGCGAGTGCTGGATGTTTGCATGCTTGTGCACATGTCTGTGTGCACATGGGGATTGTCTTGTACAATGGAAGCTTTCTTTCTTTTTTTTTTAATATATATTTATTTTATAATTACCTTAATTTCACATATCAGCCACAGATTCCCCCGTCCTCCCTCCTCCCACTCCCTAGTCCTACCCCCCAATCCATCCCCCATTCCCACCTCCTCCAAGGCAAGGTCTCCCCTGGGGAGTCAGCCCAGCCTGGTAGACTCAGCCGAGGCAGGTCCAGTCCCCTCCTCCCTACACCAAGGCTGAGCAAAGTGTCCCAGCATAGGCCCCAGGCTCCAAAAAGCCAGCCCATGCACCAAGGACAGGTCCCAGCTCCACTGCCTGGGGGCCTCCCAAACAGTTTAAGCTAATCAACTGTCCTACTTATCCAGAGGGCCAGGTCCAGTTCCATGGGGGCTCCTCAGCCATTGGCTCACTGTTCATGCGTTTCCACTAGTTTGGCTATTTGTCCCAGTGCTTTTTCCAATCATGGTCTCAATATCTCTCGCTCATACAATCCCTCCTCTCTCTCGCCAGTTGGGCTCCCAGAGCTCCACCTGGGGCTCGGCCGTGGATCTCTGCATTAGCTTCCATCAGATACTGGATGAGAGTTCTATCATGACAGTCAGGGTGTTCAGCCATCCGATCACCAGAGGAGGTCAGCTCAGGCACTCTCTCGACCATTGCCAGTAGTCTACAGTGGAGATATCTTTGTGGATTTCTGGGGACCTCTCTAGCACTCTGCTTCTTCCTATTCCCCTGGGGTCTTCATTCATCATGGTATCCCCCTCCCTGTTCTGCCACTCTGCTCCTGACCCAGCTGGGACCTCCCGCTCCCCTAGCTCTTTCCCTTGACACTTGCCCTCCATTACCCCTATCCCCACCCCTAGTCTGCTCATGTAGATCTCATCCATTTCTCTGTTGTTAGGTGATCCCTGTGTCTTTCTCAGGGTCCTCTTTACTAGGAAGCCTCCCTGGAGTTGTGAGTTGCAGTCTGGTTATCCTTTGCTTTACATCTAGTATCCACTTATGAGTGGGTACATACCATGTTTGTCTTTCTGAGTCTGGGTTACCTCACTCAGGATGATTTTTTTCTAGTTCCATCCATTTGCCCGCAAACCTCATGATGTCATTGTTTTTCTCTGCTGAGTAGTACTCCATTGTATATATATAGCACATTTTCTTTATCCATTCTTCAGTTGAAGGGCATCTAGGTTGTTTCCACGTTCTGGCTATTACAAATAATGCTGCTATGAACATAGTTGAGCATGTGTTCTTGTGGTATGATTGAGCATTCCTTGGGTATATGCCCAAGAGTGGTATAGCTGGGTCTTGAGGGAGGTTGATTCCCAATTTTCTAAGAAAACACAATATTGATTTCCATAATGGCTGTACAAGCTTGCATTCCCACCAACAGTGGAGGAGTGTTTCCCTTGCTCCATATCATCTCCAACATAAGCCCTCTTCAGTGTTTTTGATCTTAGCCATTCTGATGGGTGTAAGATGGTATCTCAGAGTTTTGTTTTGATTTGCATTTCCCTGATGATTAAGGATACTGAGCAATTCCTTAAATGTCTTTCAGCCATTTGAACTTCTTCTGAGAATTCTCTGTTTAGCTCTATAGCCCATTTTTTAATTGGACTGTTGGGTATTTTGATGTCTAATTTTTTGAGTTCTTTAAATATTCTGGATATCAGCTCTCTGTCAGATGTGGGATTGGTAAAGATCTTTCCCCATTCTGTAAGCGGTCATTTTGTCTTATTGACTGTGTCCTTTGCCCTACAAAAGCTTCTCAGTTTCAAGAGGTCCCATTGATCGATTGTATCTCCCAGTGTCTGTGCTACTGGTGTTATATTTAGGAAGTGATCTCCAGTGCCAGTATGTTCAAAACAACTTTCTACTTTCTCTTCTGTTAGGTTCAGAGTAACTGGATCTATGTTTTGAAATCTTTGATCCACTTGGACATAAGTTTTGTGCACGGTGACAGATATGGATCTATTTGTAATCTTCTACATGTTGACATCCAGTTATGCCAGCACCATTTGTTGAAGATGCTTTTTCCATTGTATAGTTTTGTCTTCTTTGTCGAAAATCATATGTTCATAGGTGTGCGGATTTATGTCAGGGTCTTCAGTTCAGTTCCATTGGTCCACATGTTGGTTTTTATGGCAGTACCAAGCTGTTTTTATTACTGTAGCTCTATAGTAGAGCTTGAAGTTAGGGATCATGATACCACCAGAGGTTGTTTTATTGTACAGGATTCTTTTGGCTATCCTGGGTTTTTTGTTTTTCCTTATGAAGTTGAGTATTGTTCATTCCAGGTCTGTGAAGAATTGTGTTGGTATTTTGATGGGGATTGCATTGAATCTGTAGATTGCTTTTGGTAAGATTGCCATTTTTACTATGTTAATCCTACCTATCCATGAGCATGGGAGATCTTTCCATTTTCTGTTATCTTCTTCAGTTTCTTTCTTCAGAGACTTAAAGTTCTTGTCATACAGGTCCTTCACTTTAGTTAGAGTTACCCCAAGGTATTTTATATCATTGGTGGCTATTGTAAAGGGTTATGTATCTCTGATTTCTTTCTCAGCCCGTTTGTCATTTGTATGTAGGAGGGCTACTGATTTTGTTGAGTTAATCTTGTATCCTGCTACATTGCTGAAGGTGTTTATAAGCTGTATGAGTTCCTTTGTTGAATTTTTGGGGTCACTTATGTATACTATCATGTCATCTGCAAATAGTGAAAGTTTGACTTCTTCCTTTCCAATTTGTATCCCCTTGATCTCCTTTTGTTGTCTAATTCTCTGGCTAGAACTTCAAGTACTATATTGAATAAATGTGGGGAAAGTGGACAGCCTTGTCTTGTTCCTGATTTTAGTGGAATTGCTTTGAGTTTTTCTCCATTTACGTTGATGTTGGCTGTTGGCTTGCTGTAAATTGCCTTTATTATGTTTAGGTATGTTTCTTGTATTCCTGATCTCTCCAAGACCTTTATCATGAAGGGGTTTGGGTTTTGTCAAAGGCCTTTTTAGCATCTAGTGAGATGATCATGTGGTTTTTTTTTTTTTTTCTTTCAGTTTGTTTATATGGTGTATTACATTGACAGACTTTGGTATGTTGAACCACCCTTTCATCCCTGGGATGAAGCCTACTTGATCATGGTGGATAATTGTTTTGATGTGTTGTTCTTGGAGTCTGTTTGCCAATATTTTATTAAGTATTTTTGCATCAATGTTCATGAGGGAGATTGGTCTGTAGTTCTCTTTCTTTGTTGCATCTTTGTTTGGCTTGGGAATCAGGGTAATTGTAGCCTCATAAAAGGAGTTTGGTAATTTTCCTTCTGTTTATATTGTGTGGAACAATTTTAAAGAGTATTGGTATTATCTTTTCTTTGAAGATCTGGTAGAATTCTCTGCTGAAAGCATCTAGTCCTGAGCTTTTTTTGGTTGAGAGACTTTTAATGACTGTTTCTATTTCCTTAGGGGTTATTGGTCTATTTAAATAGTTTATCTGGTCTTGATTTAACTTAGGTATGTGGTACCTATCCAGAAAATTATCCATTTCTTTTAGATTTTCCAGTTTTGTGGAGTACAGGTTTTTGAAGTATGACTTGAGTTCTCTGGATTTCCTCAATGTTAGTTGTTATGTCTCCCTTTTCATTTCTGATTTTGCTAATTTGAATGCTCTCTCTCTGCCTTTTAGTTAGTTTGGATAATGGCTTGTCTATCTTGTTGATTTTCTCAAAGAACCAACTCTTTGTTTCATTGATTCTTTGTATTGTTCTCTTTGTTTCTATTTTATTGATTTCAGCTCTCAATTTGATTATTTCCTGGTGTCTATTCCTCCTGGGTGACTTTGCTTCTTCTTGTTCTAGGGCTTTCAGGTGTGCTGTTAAGTCACTAGTGTGACATTTCTCCAACTTCTTTATGTGGGCATTTATTTAGTGCTATGAATTTTTCTCTTAGCACTTCTTTCATAGCATCCCATAGGTTTGGATATGTGATATACTCATTTTCATTGATCTCTAGGAAGTCTTTAATTTCTTGATTTCTTCCTTGACCCATTGGTGATTCAGTTGAGCATTATTCAGTTTCTATGAGATTGTAGACTTTCTGTAATTTTTGTTGTTGTTGAAATCTAACTTTATACCATGGTGGTCTGATAGAACACAGGAGGTTATTCCAATTTTTTTTTGTATCTGTTGAGATTTACTTTGTGGCTAAGTATGTGGTTGATTTTAGAGAAAGTTCCATGGGGTGCTGAGAAGAAGGTATATTCTTTTTTGTTAGAATGGAATGTTCTGTAGATATCAATTAAGTCCATTTGAGCCATAACATCATTTAAGTCCCTTATTTCTCTGTTAAGTTTCGATTTTGTAGGTCTGTCCAGTGGTGAGGTGTTGAAGTCTCCCACTATTGATGTGTGGGATTTTATGTGTGATTTAAGCTTTAGTAATGTTTCTTTTACATATGTGGGTGCCCTTGTGTTTGGGCCATAAATGTTCAGAATTGAAACTTCATCTTGGTGGATCTTTTCTGTGATGAGTTTGTAATGCCCTACTTGATCTCTTTTGATTGATTTTAGTTTGAAGTCTATTTTGTTGGCTATTAGGGTGGCTACACCAGCTTGCTTCTTAAGACCATTTGATTGGAAAGACTTTTCCCAGCCTTTTACTCTGAGGTAGTGTCTATATTTGAATTTGATGTGTGTTTCTTGTATGCAGCAGAAAGATGGGTCCCTGCAGGCCAGAAGAGGGGAGCCAGATCTCATTACAGGTGGTTGTGAGCCACCATGTGGGTGCTGGGAATTGAACTCAGGACCTCTGGCAGAACAGCCAGTGCTCTTAACCTCTGACCCATCTCTCCAGCCCAACAGAAGCTTTTTTAAAAGGCTCAGAATGTGCCCTTTCCAACATTTGATGTGATTATTTAAATTTGTATTTAGAAGTTACACACACACACACACACACACACACACATACACACATGCACGGACACACGCACACACAGGTATGATATTTGATTGATTTTTTTTGAAACAGGGTCTCACTGTGTAATCCAGTAATTTCAAACTTGTAATCTCCCTGCCCTAACCTCTCAGGTGCTGGCGTGACAGGTATCTCCCACTGTGCTCAAAAGATAATTTATAAAGATCATTATTCTGAAAATGATTGATAAAGAGAAAAGTCATTCCCCTTAGCTTTGAGTGTTTGATATTTTCATGGTTGAAGTTTCTTGTTATCTTTCTGAAGATATTAATAATAGTTACTTTTAAAAAAAGTTTTCTTAGATTTACATAGTCTCTGGTTTGTCTAAGTTTTTTTTTTTCCTCCTGTTTTCTGTGTTTGCTCACTGTATTTTTGGTAAGAAACTTTCTGTGGGAGGCCATGGGAGTCCAGCTCCTACCTTTCCTACCTTTTTAGTTCTTATGAGAGAGGGATAAGAAATATTAGATAAAGAGAGACCTAGTTGATGAGAAGAAAGACAGAAACACAGGATAGCTTTAGGAGAGCCTGAAACACTACCCAATGGCCTCGAAGGTTTATTCAAAAGGCTTTTTATAACATGCCCAGGGAGAGGCAAAAGATTCTCCCTTGCTAGATCAGAACACACTGTACAGCCAAGTGTAGACCCTTCCAAACACCTGGTAACCACGCCTGTGGCCAAATCATCTCCTTATGCAGCCCTGCTGGGTAAAGCAAGCTCAGATTCTCTAACCTTGAGTAATCTGGGCCTCTACATCTTTCCTCAGAAGTCTAGTGCTATTGGTTGGACAAATATTCGGGACTAGGTCATTAAACATTGATGTAAGTCTGTGCATATGGGTGGGGTTGACTGCAGGTTTGGACTGTTTCTTAGGGGAATCCATTAAGTCATGGTCATGCTCCTGGCGGGGCGGGGGGGGGGGGGGGGGGGGGGGGGGGGGGGGGGGGGGGGGGGGGGGGGGGCCCGGGATTTATAGTAGCATCATCATCCGTCGTCTGCTTCAGCCCCTCCCCCCCCATGTGCCTCCCACACTTGGCTCCATCTTCATTTCTTGGAGATATATACCTAAGGGTGGAATAGCGGGGACCTATGCTAATTTTGTTTGTTTTGAGGAAGTTACAAACGGTTTCCCTGGCTTGGGTTTTAATAGGATCTTTCTATTCTCCCTATTGAAAATAGAGTGAGAAGGATGAGGGTAAAGGCTGGAGAGCAGTTGAAGCTGTTGTACCCTAAAGAGATGTGAGAATGACTCAGGTCAGGTGGCAGCTGTGGACATGGTATGGGTGCAGATCTCCTTACAGATGGGAGAGAGACCAGGAGGCCAACAGTAGTGCAGAGCTAGAGATCCCAGGAGGCAGCGCAGGTTTGCAGTCAAGGATAAACTCCCATATTTTGAGATACTAATTAGATACCCAAATGAAGATTGTGAGTGGGAAGTTAGAAATACAAGTTTGTAATGGGAGAGGTCTGGGTTAGAGCCCAAAGTCGGGCAGTAGTTAGCCTATAGAATATAATGTAAAGCATCAAGGGAGAGAAGTAGATGAGAATAGAGAACTGAGTAGGACTGAATCTTGGGGAGCTTTGACATAGAGTAGGTCGGGCTGCGAATGTCTCACTGTGAGAGGATCTGCTTAGTGTACCTGAGGCTTTGGGTTGGTCCTTCACACCAGCGAGAAGGGGGCGGGGCATGAGAGGGAGGAGAGAGAGAGTTAGATGGGTAAATAGATTAGGGAGAAGAGAACTATCTAGTCATGTCTAGAAGAATGTCTAGGACAGCATGTTGAAGGCAGGTGGGAAAACATGTGCAGGTTGAGTGTTCATGCCTATAAGTTGTCTCATTAGCTCTTCATTTCTTCTTTTTAAAGATTGCTTACTTTTGCTCTACAATAGGGAGGAAGGTTAGTCTGGCTGAGAAAGAGGGCCTATTACAGTCAGAGTACTCAGGAGTTCATAGTTAGTGTCTGTGTAACGGGAATGCTTATCTCAGATTGAGTTTGGCCCTTGGATGCAGCCATGTGCTGGTGTAAAGAGGGTAGAAGTGGTCACATTTGTATTGAATTTCCTTTTGAAATCTCCTATTCTTTTTTGTAGAAAATTTGCTGGAAATCACATTGTTCAAACACAGTTAATGAATGACTTATTGGTGGGCATTAGAGTTTCAATGACATTAGTACAAAAAGTACCAAGTCCTGAGGGCTATCTTTGGAGTGATTCTTCTAACTGTCTCATCTGGCGTGTTATGTGTGGCTTGCTAAGCATTTTCACCGACTTTTTAAATGATGGTAAGTGTGACAAAATGATGATCATAACTGCATGCCAGTCTGTTTAACCTATGGAGAAAGGACCTGAACTACATGATTTTAATGCTTGTTTTGTGTTTTTCAAATGTATGAGTTCAGCAAGGGAGGTTGAACAACTTTTCCCAGGTTGCGTGTGTATGTATGTCAGCATGTTTATTGTGTATAAAGGGAGAAACACATTCAATACTCTCATTGTTAGAAAGCCACAGACTTTAGAAAAATTCTTTAGAAGCAGCTACCAAATTTAAGAAAGACTTAGAAAGATGAGTTGAATTCTTAATGGTATTATATTCAGATAATGACAATAGTTGATTATGAGCCCGGTTGCCTAATTCCTCCCAATATCTCTTCTGTCCATGAGAACTAGACCACTAGGAAGCTAAGTAGAAGAAAAGAAATTTCTCTTCATGAGAGTATTTCAATTAATAAATTAAAATGAAGTAACATGATAGACTTCTTGTAATACCCAGTGATTGATGTAGGTGGCATTAAGCACCAATAATCACAGAAACAAAACCAGATAAAATGTGCCTCTTAGATTCTTGTAGCTCCTACCTGGCATCTTCTGAAGGGATTGAATTTGAGAGTAATGCTGTCTCTAGGTCAGCTGCCAGTTGGCAGGAATCAGGACTGCATTGGATGAGGACAGAGGATCTACCAGGAATAAGCAAACACAGCATCCTTGTTGAAGGAACTGCAAGTCAGATGGGCCAGAGTTCCTCATCAGAGAATTATAGCGGAGAGAGGCGGGGTGCTTGTACTGTAAGATCTGTAGAAGATATTTAAAAAGTCTGGAAATGCATACTCATGTGTTAATGCTGTTGAAGAACGTAAGGAAGTCATTACTGGGAAAGTTGTAATAGTGTTTACTCAGTGTGAAAGGGCATTCTGGTTGGGGTGAGGTATATGGGATGCGGTACATGGGTAAGTCTTTGGGGCTGGAAGCTAAGTTCTATAATTTATTTAACTGTTTATGTATATATAAAATCTTTTTGTTAAACAAAGGAGTTTCATAGCATTTTAAGTATTACAGAAAAGGTTAAATTGTCATTTCTCGTCATCTGCTATTCTGTGTAGTTTTATATATATATATATATATATATATATATATATATATATATATATATGAATTTAACTTAAATAAAAAACACAATTAAAAAATAAATGAACAACAACAAAAAACAAAAACAAAACAAAAAACCCAAGGGGCTGTAGAGATGGCTCTGTAGTTAAGAGCACTGGCCACTCTTTGAGAGTACCTGAGTTCAGTTGCCAGCACCCACTTGGTGGCTCAAAACCGTCTATAACTCCAGTTCCAGGGGATCTGACATCTTCTTGTGCTTTCTTGGACACTGTATGCACAAGGTGCACAGACACACATGCAGGCAAAACAACCACACACACAGACTTTTAAAAAATGAAAACATTGGCTGGACAAGATGTCTCAGTGGGTAGACTTTGCCACAAGGCCAGATGACCTGAGCTTGATGCCTGATCTCTGGAACTCACATGGTGGAGTACTATAAGTTGTCCTTTGACCTACACACACACACACACACACACACACACACACACACACACACACACACACCACAAAAAACATTATGGGGCCCTGTTTAGAACTCTTGTTTGTAAGAAATGATGATTTACTCTGCCTTTGCTGGGATAATTGTTTTAACATTGGTAACTAGGAAAAATTACCTTGGACTTTTAGGAATTTAAAAGAAATTAAATTAGTTACTTTAAAAAATAAATTAAAAAAAATAAGAAATTTTAATGTGTGTGTTTCTGTCTCTGAGTATGTGCACATGGGTTCCTGAGGAGGCCAGAAGAGGGTGTCTGATCCCCTGGAGTTAGACTTGTAAGTGCTTGTGAACCATCCAGTGTAGGTGCTGGGAACTAAACTTGGGTCCTCTGCAAGAGGACCAAGCACCTTAACCTCTGAGCCATCTCTCCAGACCCTAATTAGTTACTTTCATCAAGACAGAATTTATAGACAACTTTTCAGAGGATATTTACCTTTTTTAAAAGGACAATTTAGAAATCTGAAAAGTAAAAGACTTTGGTGAGATACAGAGAAGAAAATTTAAAAATTTATTTTATTTTTATGTATGTGTGTGGTTATATGAGTTGTCTATACCATGTGAATTTAGGTGCCTGTGGTGGCTAGACCAGGGCAGCAGGTCCCCTGGAACCAGGCGTATAAATGGTTGTGAGCCTCCATGTGGATGCTGGGAAATGAACTTGGATCCTCTGTAAGAGGAGCAAGTACTCTAGACTGCTGAGTCATCTCTAGTCCAGACACAAATTTAATGAGACGCGATTTTCTGAAAAGTTGATGGCACTTCATCAGTGCCATTCTTAAGTAGTTAAAGCTTTTTGTGTTAGTAAAGTATTTAGCAGTGAGTAACAGAAAATTGTCACAAAGTTTAGAGGCAGATGACCGAGAACTACTGCCACCAATGTAGGACCCAGCATTGCCTTTCTGCTGTGGCATTTTTATTATGTTGGTGTCTTCCCATGTGCCTCCTGCCTCCTGTTGGCACCTGTCTGCTGTAGCTGCAGGCATCATGTGTTTGTTCAAGGAAGAGGAAGGCCTTGCATCTTCTCTCTCTCTCTCTCTCTCTCTCTCTCTCTCTCTCTCTCTCTCTCTCTCTCTCTCTCTCCCTCCCTCCCTCCCTCCCTCTTTCTTTCTTTCTTTTCTTTTCTTTCCTTTTTCTCCTCCCTCCCTCCCTTCCTCCCTCCCTCCCTCTCTCTCTTTCTTCTTATTTTTTAATGTATTAGGCTCTGTACATGTACCTGAATGCCAGAAGGGGGCATCCGATCCTATTATAGATGGTTGTGAGCCAGTATGTGGTTGCTGGGAATTGAACCTCTGGAAGAGCAGTCAGTTCTCTTAAATGCTGATCTATCTCTCCAACCCAAGGGCCTTGCATGGTAATCAGAAAAACTAATAGACTAAGGGACTTCTGCATATAGCTCATTGGCCTGAACCCCTCCAGTGGCTGTCTTTAGTTTCAAAGAAGATTGTAGGAGCAAGAATCCTGCTTTTGGCTAAGCATATGGCTACCCAAAGTCAGTTTTTTTTTTTTTTCCCAGAGATGGAGGGCAAAGTAGATATTTAATAGTTAACTTAAGGTGTCTGTCATACTTCTTAGTCTGAGTTGAGTAATTCACATTACTGGAGGCTAATGTGTATGCAAACAAAAAGAAGATAGCGAATCAAAATTGTCTGGTCACTTTGAGTGCTGTGAGTGCTGTGCTAGCAAGGTTTCTAATTGGCATTGGTGTGGATTTTTTTTTCATATAGCACTTCAGACCTCTCTAAGGAAAATTGTTCATGGAGTGGGGATCCAAAGCATCAGTGTCAGGAGGGAGGTGGCGGTGTTGCTGGGTATGCCATTGGCATAGATGTCGAGGATGAGTGTAAGATGTTGGACCAGAGAGGAGGGAAGCTCATTCACTGAATATGTGCTGGGCCTAGCCTTTCTCTTCATTTTCTTTTCTTTCTTTCTTTCTTTCTTTTTTTTTTTTTTTAAAGATTTATTTATTTATTATGTATACAGAGGAGGGCGCCAGATCTCATTACAGATGGTTGTGAGCCATCATGTGGTTGCTGGGAATTGAACTCAGGACCTCTGGAAGAGCAGTCAGTGCTCTTAACCTTTGAGCCATCTCTCCAGCCCTCTTCATTTTCTTTTAAACTTTATGACAACTTGTCTGGTATTGGTTATTTCTCTCTCTCTCTCTCTCTCTCTCTCTCTCTCTCTCTCTCTCTCTCTCTTTCTAAGAAAGCTGAGTTCCTGGGAGGTTAAGTAACTTGTCTGGAATCTTGTCACCTGGGAAATGGTCAAGCTGGAGCTATCTAGGCCTCTCAGACCCAAAGCACTTGCTCTTTCTAGCACACCAGACTCTCCATCTTTAATACACGATGACTGCTTCCCCCTCCCCCAATAGGTGACCTACTGCAGACTGTTCAGAGCACATCGGGATTAGCTGTTATTCTTTTTGTGAAGAACATGTTCAGTCCATCTGAAAAACTTCCTGAGTTGGTGAGTGCATCTGCTTTTTAGAACTTCCCTTCACCGAGAATTAGATGGACATCAGTTTGGTTTAATTTAAATATTTTATTGATTATTATTTATGTCACAGTGTATGTGTGGAGGTCAGAGGACAACTTGTGGTAGGGATTCTCTTCTACTACATGGATCCTGGGGATCAAACTGAGGTTGTTAAACTTGACGTGGTTTTACCCACTCAGCTATTTCACTGGCCCCTCAGTGTTTCAACTGCAGCAGCTGAATTTTAAAAAGTGTATTGGGCATAGCTGGGGTTTTTCTAGTGGCTCTTTTCTCTTACAATGATAATTCTAAGTACACAGATGACATGGTGGCAGGCACGATGACAGGGCAGGAACAGCTGTCTGTCAGTCAGTTTTGCACAGGCAACTGCTATTAGCGTTGGTTGACTACCCTCAGTTCTTTTCCGTTCTGTGCGTCAGTGTGGTGAGAGGGAGAACATTACAGCTGTGCGGTGACTGCTGTTTAAACCATGCTAACAACTTTCTGATAGTTGTTTTTTTTTATTAAGAACAGACTTTGTAATATACTTAATCATACTTTATCATGTAATATAAGAGGCATGGTTGGGTCAGTTTTTAGTGAATTTGGTCCCTAAGGAAAGTAATTTGGTAATGTAGACCATAGTCTTTGCATTGGCTGCTAGCATTCTGCCCTCCTCTCAGTATATTATCTAGAAACTCATTTTGTCTAGACATCTGTGTATTCTGAGATCATGCAAAATGATTATTCTTGTATGAGACTGGATTTTTTTCTTGGAGCTCCTCTAAAAGCATCCTCTGTCCATCTGCAGGTGGTGACCTTCATGTTTCTCCAGTACTTTCATCTCAGCAGAACGGTTCATGTGTTTAGAGTTCACTGTTGTCCTTCTAAAGTTGGTGTAGTGATGTTAGTGTTTGTGTTTTACATTCCTTTTCTAGACTGTTTCAGGAAGTATTTCAAGAAAGAGATTTGTAGGTTTGTAGTTAAGCTATTTGTATGTTACTCCCTCTGTTGTTTTCCAGATCAGCAGCCTGCTTCTCCGGTCAGTTGACTGCAGCAGCACCCCTGAGTGGTTCGTGAACTGCTGTGGGAGCCTTTGCAGTGCTGACGTGCCGGTCTCCACGCTCTTGTTCCTGTGCCACGGAGCGCTTGCAATGCTGGACTGGCGGGATGGGGGCATGGGCCCCAGCGGGGAGGCTTTGCTGCTGGACACTGTGCATGTTTTGTTTACCTTGACTTCGCAGTGAGTTTGGGTTTTTATCCCGTATTTCTTTTTTTCACTTCTAAGACAGTTGAAGGACACAACTTAGCCAACCAAGTCAATTCAATTAAGTGTGGTTAGGATGAATCCTAAATTACAATTGATAGATGAGAATAAATCAGGCATGAGAGAAAAGACAGTAATGAGAGACAGTCATAGAATTACTGGTACAGGCCAACCTAATGAGCACCAGCAGAGGGCACCAGATCTCATTGTAGATGGTTGTGAGCCACCATGTGGGGGCTGGGAATTGAACTCAGGACCCCTGCAAGAACAGCCAGTGCCTTGACTTCTGAGCCACCTCTCCAGCCCCTGCAATACATTTTTAAAAAAAAAAAAGTCAGACAATGAATACATCCTTATAAGCATTACTATTAAAATAAGCAAAAAGCTCTAAAATAATTTTTACAAGTTGGAGATATAATTCACGTACTATAAATTCACAGATGTAAAGTGCACAATTGTGTTTCTTTTAGTATGTTTGTGGACTTGCACAACCATCCCACAGTCAACCTCAGAGTGCTTCTTGGTCGTGGTGGTACACTTGGGAGGCAGAGGCAACAAGATGAGTGTAGCCTAGTAACCTAGTGAGACCTTTTCTCAAAATAAATTTTATCACCCTAAAACAGCAGACACCCAAAGACCAAAACATGATTCTCCAGCCTTGCCCAGCTGGGCCCAGGAGAAGTGAGGGAGCTAGTTCAGGGTAGGAGTACTTGCTGTGCAAATTTGTGGACCCGAGTTCAAATCCCAAACACCACATGTGCCTTCAACCCCAGCATTAGCAAAGGTCACGTAAATCCTGGGAGCTCTCTGGTGGCCATCTTAGCTGAAACAGCTGGCTTGTAGTTCAGTAAGAGGCCCTGTCTCAAGGAAGTGAGGTAAAGAGCTATAGAAAAAGACACCTGGTGTCCTCTGGTCTCTGCATGCATCCCCACACTCACTGGAATGCATATCTCTGTCTGTCTGTCTCTCTCTCTCTGTCACATACATACACACTAAATTTAAAATATCCATGAAACCATCACAGCAAAGATAGTGAATACTTGACTTATTCCTAAAGGCTTCCATGTATTCATTTTTTATTTTTTGTAAGGTAAAAAGATTGAAAATTTGTCATGTAAGTTTGGCCTTACTTGTAATTTTGTTGTTGTAAATTTCATTGAGTTTTCTGTTCATTCTTTGTATTTAAAGTTGTGATTTTGTCTAATTTCTTTCCTAGGCAATTCATAATAATATATGTCATGGTTTATTTTTCTCCAGGATTAAGGAGTCAACATTAGAAATGTTCCTGTCTAGAGTCTTGGCATCTTGGACCAATGCAGCCTTACATGTCCTTGAATCAAGTTCCCCAAGCCTAAAGGACTGTCTGAATGGGGATTCTAGCATAGCTAGGAGGCTTTTGGAATATGTCTATACACACTGGGAACATCCACTGGATGCTCTGAGACACCAAACCAAAATCATATTCAGAAATCTTCTGCAAATGCACCGGCTCACTACAGAAGGGAAGGATGTAGTCACTGACCCGTTCTTTCTGGAGTTGACCAAGAGTCTTCTGCAGTTAGAATGGCATATTAAAGGGAAGTACGCATGCCTTGGCTGTTTGGTTGAGAGTACTGGAATTGAACATATTTTGGCAATAGATAAAACGATTCCATCTCAAATCCTAGAGGTGATGGGAGACCAGTCATTGGTACCTTATGCAAGTGACCTTTTGGAAACCATGTTTAAAAATCATAGGAGCCATTTGAAGTCCCAAACTGTCACCAGCACTTGGATGGATGAGTGGCATGAGACGTGGGTTTCTCCTCTCCTTTCTATACTGTGTGGAGGGAACTTGGATCAGAAGTCGTATGTGATCGATTATTATTTGCCAAGGTTACTGAATTACAGCCCTGAAAGCCTGCAGTACATGGTGAAGATTCTTCAGGCATCTATTGACACTGAAACTGGTGAGTAGTTTGTCTTAGTAATTTCTATTTAGGATACTTAACTGTAGGTCCCTGTGCAGATGCTTGTCATGCCCTGCTATAAGTGCTACAGAATGCTATCAATGACAGCCACTCGAGATTGAAACAGATTGGACTTTCAATAGCTGAGTGATGGTTTTGGTTGAAGTAGTTTCGCCAAGCAAAGAATGATTCCAGTTATAAAGTTTTGTTTTTTAAAAGATTGATTTTGTTTGTTTGTTTGTTTTTGTTTTTTTGAGACAGGGTTTCTCTGTGTAGCTTTGCACCTTTCCTGGAGCTCACTCTGTAGCCCAGGCTGGCCTCGAACTCACAGAGATCCGCCTGCTTCTGCCTCCCGAGTGCTGAGATTAAAGGCGTGCGCCACCACCTCTCGGCAAAAGGTTGATTTTTATGTGTATGAGTGGTGTGCTTACCTGTGTAGTGTCTACATGAACAACACATGTGTGTCTCATGCCTTTGGAGGCTAGAACAGGGCATTGGATCTCTTGGAATGGAGTCACGGATAGTTGTGAGCTGCCATGTAGGTGCTGGGAATTGAACCTGTGTACTCTGGGAGAGTAGCCAGGGCTCTTCATCACAGAGCCCTCTGCTCCAGCGCCTAGTTACAAGGTTTTAATTAATTTTTTTGTTCTCAAACTAGAGTAACGATGTATGTATTTTATATAATTTTCTTATCCAGGTGATTAAGATAGCAATTAAAATTGCTTTAGGCAGGCTTAATAAAAACAGGTGAGTTTTCCACAACCTAAAAAAAAAAAAGAACTAGAGCTAGGTGATGGTGGCATATGCCTTTAGTCCCAGCCCTCAGGAGGCAGAAGCAGGTGGATCTCTGTGAGTTCAAGGCCAGCCTGGTCTACAAAGTGAGTTCCAGGACAGCTAGGGCTACACAGAGAAGCCCTGTCTTGAAAAACCCAAAACAAAGAAGAAGAAAAAAAAAAAAAAAAAAAAGAACTATGTAGTGATATGAGGAACATCCCACTGAAAACCAGGAGTCCTTAAGGAATCATGGTTTATAATGAACGTGTCGCCATATGTGGTGGTATATGTCTCTAATTCCAGCACTTGGGAGATAGAGACAGGAGGATTGCTTCCAGTTCAAGGCCAGTTTAGTATACATAGTGAGTTCCAGGTAGGTCATGACTGCATGATACTTTCTAAATACATAGATACATAGTTAGATTGAAAATGAATATAAAATGTTAACTCTCAACATGGAAGTCTCAAAAATTTTTTAACTTGATTCTGAGAGGAAATTTTGATTTCTGTACACAAAACAATGTGTTATTTGATAATCTTTAATAGTTGTTCTTGCATTTTGAGAGGCCACCTGAGGCTATGGCTTTGTGAAGCTGTCCTGATGTTAGTGTGTGTCTGTTCTGGGTAAGGTGTCCTGAGAGCCTCAACTTCTTGTGCTGTTTCAGAGAACAGCTTTCTAGAGGCTGATGTTCTGCTGAAATCAGGAGGTCTTTGTGGACCACATTTTATGTTCGTTATAAATGAGAACAGCTCCAAAATACATGTGGAGGGTCAATGTTTATTTTCAAGAAAATAATAATCTTTCAACTAGCACACTGTCTCTACTACTCTTGTACAATGGTTTTAACTTTTTTCTATTTGATGTTTTTCCTCTAATTCACATAATGGTAGATTTCTTTAAGTTTTAAGGCCAAAAGTAAAATTGTTAGAGAATAAGTTATGATTTCTTTATAATAAGATAATAACGTTTATTTGAAATTATTGGCATGAACAATTATATTCAGTCATTTTTATTTTAGAATAAGCACTTTAATTTGTCTTAGAATTTAGTTTAAAATTTAATATTAATTGGAACATAAAAGTTGGCATGTCATAGTCATTGCATAGCACAGGAATGGTCTTTGCTATTGTGCCTTTAAGACAAGAACAGTTTTTCCCTCTTAGGGTCTTGTAATCGCAGAGGGGCTCTGGGAGCTTTGATGGCATGTCTCCGAACAGCTAGAGCTCATGGACATCTTCAGTCTGCAACTCATGCCTGGGAGAACCTTGTGTGCGGTGCACGGATAAAGCAAGGCTTAATTCACCAACACTGCCAAGTAAGGAGCCTTCTGTTGCACACATTAGTCCCTGATAGCCTGATTGCTTTAGGAGTCCTGCTGGCGGCTAAGTGGTAGGGGGTCCATTATGGTAGTAGACAGTGGCATCCTTGTTCTTAGTCTATGCAGTGTCCAGTTGGGGAGCACGAACAGCTTACATCAAGAACCTGCAGCTCTGAGGGACAGCCTAGATGTCAGTAAGGGGCCTTTGGTAAGGGGCTTTGTCTGGAAGGCTTAGCAGAGCCTGATCAGCGTAGGTGGTGGCTGGTTAGGAAATGGAATGTTAGAATAGCACACAGAATGGAAGCCAAGGTCATGTTTGGGAAAGCTCTGGTGCTAGACTGATGATGTCATTGGTTCCCAGTTACCAATTGTGTGGACTTGTTCATTGTCAGTGGAGTCAGAGATGAAATTCTAGGAGCAAAAGGAAGCCAGGAGACAGGCTAGTGTGGGCTAGATGTGAGCTGTGAAGGCCTGGAGTGAGGTAGCCCTGAGAAGACAAGAGAGGATGTAGCTGAGTGCTATGTAAATAAACATAAGGCTTTGGCTTGTGAATGTACATAGCCTCAGTTTATACATGTAGGGACAGTTTTATAAAAAGTTAACTCAAGGTGCTTTGGATTAAGAAACCTTTCTGAGGTATATGTGGTCAACGTGCAGTTCACTTTTTTCCTTGGTAGCTTACACAGATACCATGTTGGAAGTATTCTAGGCTTTTCTTATCTCATGGGAAAACTAACCTTTTATTGTTTGGTGTGTTTTAGGTGCGGATCGATACACTAGGCTTGCTCTGTGAAAGCAACCGGAGCACAGAAGTGGTCTCTACAGAAGAAATGGAGTGGGTTCAGTTCTTTATCACATACAATCTCAACAGCCAGTCTCCAGGGGAGCGGCAGCAGATTTGCTCGCTCCTTAAAAAGGTAGACCTTTTCAGCAGAGTGAGAAAGTAATAATTGCTCTGGAAATGGCTTTTTTAGAAGGTCCCAGATTTGGGGCGAGTGTGGAGTGGTTGTGGTTATGGGCTACCACATGACTGTGTGGCTCCAGCATCCTGCCCTGAGTTCAGCAAGCTTACATGTGGGATTAAAATGCCACACAGGGCCAGGCAGTGCTGATGCACATCTTTAATCCCAGCACTTGGGAAGCAGAGGCAGGCGGATCTCTGTGAGTACAAGGCTAGCCTGGTTTACAGAGTGAGTTCCAGGATAGCCAGGGCTACACAGAGAATCCCTATTTCAACGCCCCGCCCCCCCCCCCCCAAAAAAAAACTCTGACCTCTTTAAAACTATTATTTTAAAACATTTTATTCAGTTATTTAGGGGACAGGCGTGGATATTGGGGTATAGTTATGGAGGTCAGAAAGCAGTTTGCAGGAGTTGGTTCTCTCCGTCTGCTGCCTGGGAGAAGACTTTGGTCATCAGGCTTGGTGGCAGACACCCTTACTCAGCCATCTCACCAGCCCAGGCTCTTTTTTGGAAAGAAAAAAAAAATGTCCAGGCGTGGGCGGTTTGAAGAGCGTGTTGGTGACGGGGGAAGGAAGCACTTGGTTCGTAAGCACCTCAGAGGATGGCAGTTTCATGGGTAATTCATCTTGAATCATTTGTGTAGTACATCGATGGTAGGGAATTGGGAAGGGAGAGAGATGACTGTGTTACCTTCAGGCTCACACCGGTTTAAAGGAAATGGGAAAACTGCTTTGATTGTTGTTTTTGGTAAAACTATGAAATGTTAATTTTATGTCAAAAAGAAACCGCAGATTTTAAGATTTGAGAACCCAGGTACTCCATTCGTCTTAAGTTATCCCTGCAGGCTGATGTTATGCTATGTGGTTCACATACTTTTTTTTAAAAAAATGTCTTTTTCTCCTTAAAAGCTGTTCTGTAGGATACAAGAAAGTTCTCAGGTACTTTATAAGTTGGAGCAAAGGCAATCCCCCCCTGACTCAGAGAATGAGTGCAGCCGAGAGCGGCCTCCCGTGTCTTTACAGCAGTATAAGGTAGGCGATGTGCCGGACACACAGCGCCACCCAAACCAAACACGGTGAATAAGCACCGGAGGGCACCAGCCAGATCTCTTGGTGACTCGAGGCTTGGTGCTTTTCCCTTGTCGTGCTGGGTGTTACATAGTCCTCCTGGACCTGGGCACGCCACTGGAGGTCCCTGGGGTGTGGGACCAGTGCAGTACCTGAGGACCTGAGTGACACAGTATTACACCTGGGGTCACCTCAGGAGCTCGCTTCTGGTGGGGCCAGTTTACTTATTCCTGACCTTTGCTTAGTTGGTACCTCCAAAGTCCACCTCTTCACAGGGCGGAAGACTCTGCTGCGGCTGTGGCTGTGTGTGACCGACCACACGGAGAGAACATTTATGTATGTGGTCATGAGTGCGTGTGTGTGGATGGCAGAGGTGGATGGGAAGTACCTTTCATGATCACTTTCACCTCACTTTTTGAGCCAGGTCTCTCCTGACCCTGGAGTTTGTTGATTCAGCTACTGCTTGGCAGCAAGCCCTAAGCTTCCTTAGTCTCTGAGGGCCAGGACTGAGATCACAGGTGTGCAGTGTAACCCTGGGCTTTGGTGTAGGGATCCAGCTCTGGTCTTCACGTTCGTATAACAAGCACTGTACCCACCTGCCCGTCTTCCCACCTTCCTATTTTGTAGGTCATCCAGGGCTACATGTGAGCTCTGTCTCAAAATCAAACAATGAAACCCTACAAATAAACCTCAAAATCACCAAAACAAACAAACAAACAAACAAACAAACTAAAATCCCCAACAACTTGGTTTTGAGGGTTAAATGAGAAAACCCACCCTTTGTAGACACTCACGGGGGCTGAGGAGATGGCTCATCAGGCAAAGGGGCTGGCTGCTAGGCCGGATAGCTTGAGCTCCATACCTGGAATCCACGTGGAGAAAGTCTACTCCTGAAAATTGCCATCTGATCTCCACATGGGCACGGTGGCATTTGGTGCTCACAAACAAATACATGCATAATAAATAAAATAATGAAAATAAAAAGTTTTGGGGTGGTGGCACATGCCTTTAATCCCAGCACTTGGGAGTCAGAGGCAGGTAGATCTTTGTGAGTTCAAGGCCAGCCTGGTCTCCAAAGCGAGATTCAGGACAGGCACCAAAACTACACAGAGAAACTCTGTCTTGAAAAGAAAAAAAGAAAGTCTCACTAGAAGCCATTGAGAGTGGTTTAGAGTGTATATGGAGCCCTGTCCTGTGTGTGAGAGTGAGTGTGATGTGTATTGGCCTCTCTTAGATCATTGCTGGATTTGAGGGTGTATATCTCATTTGCCTCTTAATGAAAGGAGTGACATGGCATTCATGAAATGTCACTTAACCACTTACGGACATAAAAGTCTACTGTGTGGATTGAGAGTCTAGATTTTCACAAAAGCTTTTGTTTTAGTTTTGGCTTAGATACTCCTTTTTCCTCTCTTGAGACAAAGTCTTACTGTGTAGCCCAGGCTAGCCTTAAACTGTGGTCCTCCTGTCTTAGTTTCCTCAGAGCTATGAGTGTAGTCATACGTATCACGCCCAACAGATAGGCATTTTTTTGAACAATCGAGACTTAATCGGAGTCAGTCTTGTGGTTATGATCATTTCTTATAACTTAACAGTCTGTGGCTTTTGGAGGTTGTGACCTTTGCTCTGTATTACCATCATCATTCCAGTGGGTGCCAGCAGTGTGTGATAGATAGGCCCCGTGCCAATTACAGACCAAGTGCCGAGGGAGAAGGGGAGGCTGTTAGTTGATAAAGCTGCCTGTTAGGTACTGGAGATATTTCTTACCTAATAACCAATCCTAATGTCCAGAGTACTTCACACTTAGCAGCACTGTGTACCTGTGTTTTGTTTACTCTTTTATAACAAGGCTGTGGGTTAAGCACTCTTATCCCACTGTAACGAGTGAGAAAACTGAAGCTTAAAAAGTTGAGGGACCTCAGCCACGAGTGTAGAGCCAGTCAGTTACCCCAGGCTAGACTTGCTCCTGACTGGAAGTACCCCACCTAAGGGGGCCGGTAGATGTGTGATAGGAGGACTTGGAGAACTGAACTCACTTGTGAGTAAGCATGGCACGTGGAAGGCAGGAGGGGAGTTATAGGGACCGACTGTGGAATGGATGGAGAGAGTGCCTGTAGGGTTAGGGTATTTGGAAATCTCACTCAGAACCATGAGTTAGCCAGGGCCTGGGCTGGGCATGGAGTTCCGTCGGTAGAGTGCTTCCTTAGCGTGCATAAAGCCTGTGTGGGATCTCAGCCTGGGTGTGGGCTCAATCATGTGGATATGTGGGATCTGTAAACTGGGTATGGTGGCACATACCTATTGTCTCAGCATTTATAAAGTGGAAGCAGGAGAATCAAATTGAAGGTCACCCTCTGCTACATAGCAAGTTAGATGCTTTTATAAATTGTGTCACAGTCCATTTAGTAGTCTGTATTGGCTATTTCTCTGTTTACTATAAAACTTTGGAAAGCTGCATACCCCTGATGCCTGAAGACTTGTGTCTGGAGAAGTGAGGATTCATCAAGCCCTGGCACAGACAGGCCTGAACAGATCTTGGTGTTTTATCGCTGAATCTTTGAAGACAGGGTTCAGTAAGGTCCTGATGCAGTTTGTGCCCTGAGTACTGCCCGTGTTGTGTTGCTGTGTCGAAAGCCTGGGGAGGGTCCTTTGGAAAGTTGTGAGGAGGCTGTGAGGAAGAATGTGAGTGGCTGCAAAGATCCAGCAGCAGAGGTGAGGGCTCCCTGGCCATGCCATGATACGCAGAGTAGTGGACGCAGTGTGGGAGCAGCGTGTGCTTAGGAGTGACGGCAAGAGAGCAAGCTGAGAAAAGAAACCTGCAGTGGAACAGCCGTTCCCATGGAAACCAACAGTTGAAAAGGAACCTGATTCATCCTGACGGAACTAATCAGTTCCTAGGGGTGGAGTGCCCTAGACCTAATTCCTTCCACCAGGCCTTGCCTCTTAACTTTCATACTGTCCCACTGGGGGTCAAACTTGAAGCATGTGGGCCTCTAGGGGATAAACTGTCCAAACTCCAGTAGGTGTCAAGCTGAATAATCAAACAGCTAGGACAGCTTCAAAGAGTCTTCACTCTTTGATTAAATGGAACAGAAGTACTTACTAACTGCCAGTTAACTTAATTATACTTAATTGTAATTTGTTTTTAATTTTAGAATTTCATGTCATCGGTTTGCAACATTCTTTTTGAAGCATTGTTTCCTGGATCTTCCTACTCAACTAGGTTTTCAGCTTTAAGCATTTTAGGATCAGTAGCTGAAGTGTTCCCTGTCTTAGAAGGTAAGCTTCAACAATGTGTGGGAAACATACAGTTGGTCAGCATTTTGTTGTCTTTCTATAGATTTCTTTTACTACATAGCTCTCATTTGGACCTAATTAAAGCTGCTAGTAAAGGGTGATGGGAAAGAACCTGTCTCCTCTTTTTGTTGGTCACTGTCTGCCAAACATATTGCCATGTTTCATGGATTGTCTTGGCTTACCTCACCAAGATTTCCTGTACCTCAGTGCCACATTTGTTTATACTGTTATAAGAAAGGGCTTCATCTGTTAAGTTTAAAATGAAAACCATAATGCTTTATCTTATATTTAATAAAGAGATGAATGAGCCCTTGTGGTTAAAGTGTGGTTTCTCATATATGCCATCTGCTTGACGATTTTCACACTTTGAGAAATCACATACTGTAGTGCAAACAACATAGCATACCAACAAAGTAAATTATCTACACAAAATGTACAAGTTGATTCCAGGAAAAAAAATATGAAAAAAAAGAACTCTGTAATTAGTAAAGAGATTAAAGCAGTAATCAAAACCTCCTAGCATCTGGGTATGATGATATGTGCTTTTAATTCCAGCACTTGAAGGGCTGACGCAGGGGGACCTCAAATTAGAAGCCAACCTGCTCTACCTAGCCAAGACCTTGTCACCAAATGAATAAACAATCAAAAAGTATTCTAGTCCAGGACAAGTGGCTTTGCTGGTAATCCCACCAAATATTTACGGTTAGACCTTCTCATAGTCTGTCACAAAATTGAAGAGGAGGGTGACCTCCTGACTCATTCTGTAAAGCTCATTAGAAAAGCAAATGAGGCTTTGTAGAAGGGCCAGCCAGATGGCTCAGTGGTTTGCTGCCAAGCCTGCCGACCTTCAGTCAGTTCCTAACACCCATGTGGAAGGAGAGAACTAACTCCCACAGATCACCCTCTGACTTCTCCGTGTGCACCATGGCATGTGTGTGCCAAGGTCCCCATAAATAAATAAATGCAATAAAAAAAATTAAAAATAAAGCCTGTGTAAGAAAACTGTAGACCAATATCTCTTATGAATACATTTGCAGAAAACCTTAAAAAATACTACAGCAAACAAAACTCAGCAGCATATTAAAAATATTGAACACAGAGCTGGAGAGATGGTTAAGATGGTTAAGATGGTTAAGAGTACTTCCTGCTCTTGTAGAAGACCCAGGTTCTATTCCTGGTACCCACATGGAAACTCAAAGCCATCCATAACTGTAGCTCCAGGGAATCTTATGCCTCCTTTGACTTCTGTGGGCAATAGGAACATATGTGGTACACATACATGTATGTAGACAAAACACTCATGCACATAAAATCAACAAATAAATAACTTAAAAAATGTATGCAGCTGGGGGGTAGTAGCGCATGCCTTTAATCCCAGCACTCAGGAGCAGAGGCAGGTGGATCTTCGTGCATCTAGTCTACAGAATGAGTTCTAAGACAGCCTGGGTTGTTACACAGAGAAACCTGTCTCTCCCCAAAAAGAAAAAAAAAAAAAGTGTGCATCACAACCATGTGGAATTTATCTCTGGAATTTGATATGGGTCCAAATAAGAAGATCACAGGATGTGTCATGCTTGTCATTCTGTGTCAACTGACTCTAAGACTTTGGATCTTGGGTCAGTAAGTTGTTTTTGTTTTTTTTTTAAATCGAGACAGGGTTTCTCTGCGTGGTTTTGGAGCCTTTCCTGGATCTTGCTCTATAGACCAGGCTGGCCTCGAACTCACAGAGATCCACTGCCTCTGCCTCCCGAGTGCTGGGATTAAAGGTGTGCGCCACTACCACCTGGCCTGGGTCAGTAAGTTTTTTTTTTTTTAAGATTTATTTTTATTATATGTACATGAATGTTCACCTGCATGTATGTATGTATGTCTTCTATCTTTTTGGTGCTCACTAAGCCCAGAAGATGGCATTAGTTTCCTGGGACTGGAGTTACAGATGGCTGTGAGATACCATGTGGTTACTGGGAACTGAACCTGAGCACAAGTGCTCTTAACTACTGAGCCATCTTTCCAGAGCCATGAAGTTTTTTTAAAAACATGTGTTCCTAAATTTATTTGTTCATTTTTATTTTAAAAGTAACTGAGAGATCTTTCATACCTTTTGGAAAAGAATAAAATGTTTTTAAATCTTAAAAATGTGTTTCATATTTAAGATTTAAAAACATTTTTAAATGTTTTTTACGTTACGTTATAAGAAGATTTCATATTCTTAACTTTTTCATTTGAAAAGATGCAGTTTATGCTATTTTGCATAGTGTATGCTGTGTAAAGGATGAAGTGAAATGTTATTGTGGGTAAAGCAGGAAGTAGGAATTTTTGTACTGATCTTATATAAATATTTGATCAGATAACTTTGGGCAGTTGATTTTTTTTTTTATTCACTTTTAAGAGATTTTCATTTACTTAAAATTTTAAGGTAACATCCAGACAGTGTATCAGCTGAATCATGATATTGATGCTGGCCGTTTCCAAATACTAATGGAATGCTTTACTAGTACTTTTGAAGAAGTGAAAACCTTAGCATTTGGCCTTCTGATGAAGCTGTCTTCGTCGGTAACAATTGGACAGTTCCAGGTATATGGACTTTACCTATGTAAATGTGTGTGTTTGTAGAGTTTTTATTTAGCTTAGGGAAAGCAGTCACTTGTTTGAGCTCTTTGCCAATCCTTAGGTCTTTTGAGTATTTTTTTCAGTTTCTATCTGTCTCTGGTCTAGCAAGGGTGGGAAATGGTAAAAATCCACATCACTGAGCTGTACTTTTTTAAATTGCTTTGATGGAAATGGAGGTGTAGGAGGCAGTAGGTTTTGCTGTTTACAAGATTATTGGTAGATTTCAGCTATGTGGTCTCCATAGTTCCTTTGGGCTTGTAATATTTGCTCAAAACATACCAATTACAGTAATTTTGAGGTTTTGAAGATAATCTTCCTGATTAGAAGATTGAGAAGCTGAGTGTAAATGAGGTAGAGAATGTGTTTCTGGTCTTCCAATAAGCAATAGCTAAACCGAGACTGACACCTCAGAATATTTGAGGTTAGCAGCAGTTCTCTGCAGAGGCGCTTGGCCCCAGCCCTCTCCGTGACACTGCTTTTCCTGCCTCGGGGTAGGAAACTAAGATAGGATGAGGAGTACAGGCACAGTGGAGGGTAGGTCTGCAGGGGACACCCAGCCAGGCACTCTCCTCTTGAACTTACTCTGGGGATGGGGCTCACCAGGAACATAGTGGGTGTAGAGCACTCCTCAGAGGCCAAGGGACCTGAGGGGGGCTGCAGCTGTTAGGGTCTATATATGTGTTTGTGTGTGTGTGTGTGTGTGTGTGTGTGTGTGTGTGTGTGTGTGTGTGTATCATCATCTTAGAGATGTGGGATTCAGAGGAGCAATGCCAGCCAAGACAGCACGGTAGTGCTGTTTCCAAGTCTTTGGTATGACATCCCAGGGTCTCGGTGTCACTGTTCTGACCGGGCACAGGTTAGGAGTGGCTGCCCAGGATCTGCCTGTATCTGGAGTGAGCCTTTTATCATTAGCTGTGCCTCATTCCTGTCGAATAATTTTTGAGAGGATCTGGAGGGAGAAGGTAAATTGTAGAAAGAACTGGTTCTTACAGAATCTGTGAAAGGCCCTGAGAGGACCTCTGCATCTTTAATTCCATAAACATGTGCTTGCCATAGAGATACTGTGAGATTTAAGAAATTTCTGCCCCACCTGGTGTAAGTTAGGATTTTGTTACAGTGTCTGGTCTTGTTGTGTGTTAGTAAAGCGGCCATTGACATAAACATTTAAGATTTTAAAATGGGGCAGGCAGGATGGCTCAGTAGGTAAAGGTGCTTGTCACCAAGCCTGTGATCTGGGTTTGGTCCCTGACCTCTACATGGTATAGGGAGAAAAGCAGTTCTTTTAGTTGTCCTCTGACCTCCATGTAAATGCCATAGTGTGTGCACGTCCTTTCGGGGCCTGCTCCCAAATAAATAAATGTGATTTAAATAAAAGAGTAGACTGCCTCCTATTTAAAGGAAGATTTGAAAATATTGGTTATGTACTCTGTAGTATGTCATTTTTTTTTTTTTGGACAGTATAAGTTAACATTTAAGTATTCCTTGAGTAGTTGCTTAACCTCTCTAGTACCGTGTGTATAATACATGTTCATAATGGCATGTGTTTCTGATATATACCCTTACTACTCATCTGGTTTACTGCCTATCTCTCTGTGGAGCTACAAATCCTATGTATTTATGGTGCATTAATAGTTTACGTTTTTGAATTACATTTTCATTTATTTGTGCATGTGTGTCTCTGGTGAGTGTGTGTGTGTGTGTGTGTGTGTGTGTGTGTGTGTGTGTGTGTGTGTGTAGGTCAGAGGACAACTTGCCGAAGGTGTTTTTCTTTTTCTACCATGTGGGTTCCAGGGATCTGACTCAAGCTGTTGGGCACTGAACCATCTCTAGGTTCCTATATTAATATTTTGATCCAAGTGGGATAAAAGTGCTCTCTCTTTTTTTTTTTTTTTTTTCGAGACAGGGTTTCTCTGTGTAGCTTTGGAGTCTGTCCTGGAACTCACTCTGTAGTCCAGACTGGCCTCGAACTCACAAAGATCGCCTGTTGTTTTGTTTTTTAAGGCAGGGTTTCTCTGTGTAATAGGCCTAGCTATCCTGGAACTCACTTTCTAGACCAGGCTGACCTCTTAAGGCTGTTTATTTTCTTACTGATTTATAGGCAGTATAGTTTAAGATTTTACTCTCAGTTAGAAAAATGACTTAGATGTTCATTTAGTACCTTCTGATAATTGTTTAGATTTTACTTTTTTGGCCACTATTTAAAAGTTTTTTTTAGGTTACAGAAAATTAAATGTCAAGTAGAAAAGAATTTAGGTAAAAATTAACTGACATGCAAATCAATACATTTGCTATCTACTGTTTTGAAATTGTTAGACATCATTAAATGTCAGTGTACTAATAATCAAATCCAGAAAGGAGTTTCTAACCCCTCTTATTAGATAGTTATGGAACAATACAAAAAGAATCGTAATATTACTGAGCAACTAGACACTGATGTTCAGAGTGGTTTGATGACCATGAGGCTTGTCAGCTGTGGGACTGGGACCCATGTCTCCCATTGTCAACCCAGTGCCTTTCCCTGATTGTTACAGTGACCTAACCCTCGTTCTGTGTTCCTTAGCACGACATGGGTGGAGGCTTAACTGAGGCACAGGTGTAGGAGTTTGGATGCCAAGTTTCTGAGGTTGATCTGGTCCTTCCTTCTCCACTCATGTGTTGAGTTTTACCACGAGGAGCCTTTCTTTGTCTCTGTCATTCAAGCAGCCAGTTCTGTGGGAAGGGAAAAGGGGAAAGAACAAGAATGTGGTGTTGAGATGACATGGAGAGAAATGAAGCTGACTGAGACGTGTGCTCTGAGTAGACACATGGAGGTGATCTGGCTTGGAGGCCTCGCAAATTCACAGGGAAACAATATCCATTTGCTGACTGAGTTTCCTAATTGAAATTATACTCAAGGTCTTTATCTCGGAAGTGATTAATGACTGTCACCAAGTACTGTAGGAGAAGTAGCCTGTGTTCATGGAGAAAAGCAGTCCATAGTCATTAATGTTCTCATTGAGTCCCAGCCAGAGGTGTGTATGGACTTAAGTACACCGTAGTTCCTCTCTGCTGTGGTGACCGAGACTGTGCTCTGCTCTAGGATTCTGAGAAGCTGCAAGACCTGTTCCAGGCAGCATTGGAACTCAGCACCAGCGCGAAACCCTACGACTGTGTGACAGCCTCCTACCTGCTGAACTTGCTCATATGGCAGGATGCTCTGCCAGCCTCCCTGACTGCCGCCTCTGCACAGCAGCTCACACGTGGAGCTGGAAAGAAGGCTGCCGTGCTGGAAAGGAACACGTTAGTGGGTTTGTATTGAGAAAGCGATCTTGTGCTGTCACTTAGCAAACCCTGTATTTTAATTTCTTTTTCTTTAGAGTAACCAATAGTTTCATATTTCCTTGTTTTTAAGAGTTTGCCAGCACATAAGAACACCAGTACCATTTATGCACATTAATAATTTACTCCTCTTTAACACCTGTTTATTTTCTTTTCCTGTCTTTCTTTTTTCCTTTCCCTTTTTTTGTTTTGTTTTTTTGAGATAGGATTTCTCTGTTTAATGGCCTTAACTGTATTGAAACTAGCTGTGTAGACCACGCTGGCCTCGAACTCACAGAGATCTGCCTGCCTCTGCCTCCTGAGTGCTGGGATTAAAGGCGTACACCACTATGCTCACCTATTTCTAATCAGAAGACTTATGCTATGTAATTAGACACACTGAAGGACACATTCAAAAGGGGCATCTTTTCTTTCTCCACTCCGAGTGTGCGGTTTTTGTATGATAGTTCTGCTGTGACCACAGATAAACCATCCTCATTATGTCTGAACAGAGCAGAGTTACTTTGTTGGGATATTTTCCTCAATCACTTCTCCACCTTATTTTAAAACATTAAAACTTGAAATATTGTTCGTGAGTGCATTTGTGTGGTACGTGCACGTGTATGCATGTACATGGGGGCCAGAGAAGATTTGATGTCCTGTCCTATCACTCTGGGGTTTCTTCCCACAAAACAAGGTCCCTCCCTGAACCTGGAGCTGCACCAGTGGCCAGAAGCCCCAGAGACCCTCCTGTCCATCTTCACAGTGCTAGGGTTGTAGGCTCTGCCAGGACCCAGCTCTCGGATTGGAACTCAGCTCCACATGCTTGTGGAGCAAGATAGCATTGGGCTGTCTCTCCAGTGCCCCACCTTAATTGTTGAGACAGAGGCTCTTTGAACGTGGCACTTACATTTCTGCTAGACTCTGCCTGTTTCTGTGTCCCATCCCTCCACTGGGATTACATATGTGTGCCACCATGCCAACTTTGTATCAGTGCTGGTGATTCCAGCTGAGAGCTTCATGCTTGTATAACACAGCCAACTCTCATCCTCCCTCCCGGACTTCCTACTCTCTTTAACAGAGCTCTTATAGCCTGGGTCAGCCTGAAACTTGCTGCGTAGCCAAGGGTGATCTTGAGCTTCTGCTCCTCCTGCCTTCCCAGTTACGCAGTGAAGCACCGGAACTGAGCCCAGGACGTCGTGCCTGCTAGACAAGCAAACTGCAAGGACAGGGAGCAACACTCAGTACCATCGGCCTGCAGGGAAATGCAGACCGAAATCACAGAGCACAAAGACTTCATTCCAACGGGGTAGCCAAGGAGAACCCCCCAGATTATAAATGTCCTGGAGGTTGTGGAGAAAATAGATATGCCCCACAAGGATGGAGGGTGCACACAAACCTTCAGCCTGTAAACACCTGGGAAATGAAAGTCCACACCCAGACAGGAGCTGTACAAGAGTGTCTGTAGCAGCACTATTCAGACTTGTCTGAAAGTGGCAATAAGCCATGTGCATATCAGCTGCTGAGTGGATATGTAAAAATGTGTCCGCCTGTACAGTGGACTCCTATTCAGCCATAGGAAAGAATGAATTATTGATACAGCTTTGATGAACTTTGAAAACATGATGATAAGTGATCAGAGTCAGTCATGTGTTATTTTATTCTATTTATGATCTGTCTAGACTAGGCAAATCTTTTTTTTTTTTTTCTTTTTGTTTTTTTAGACAGGATCTCATATAGCCCAGGCTGGCCTCCAACTCGCTATGTAGCCAGGCTGGTCCTGAACTCCTGATCTCCCCACCTCAGCTTCCCAAGTTCCAGCATTACAGACAGTATCTGTCACCACACCTGGCTAAGAATAGGCAGATCTGTGGGGACAGAAAAAGTCAGTAGTTACCTAGCACAGAGCAAGGGTAGAACTACCGTGAGGAGAGTGACTGTTGCTTCTGAATGAAGGGTTCTGTTTTAGTTTTGTGTATATATGTGTCAGTCGGCAGTAAAAATGTTGTGGAATAGTGTTTGCATATATCTGACAATGGAAAAAATTGACTGTACACTCTCTCTCTCTCTCTCTATATATATATATATATATAATATATATATATATATAAATAATTTTATTTTTATGTGCATTTGTGTTTTTGCCATGGATGTCGGGGTCCCCTGAAACTGGAGTTACAGACAGGTGTGAGCCGCCATGTAGATGCTGGGAATTGAACTCGGGTCCTCTAGAAGAGCAGTCAGTGCTCTTAACCCCAGAGCTATCTCTCCAGCCACCAACTGTACACTCTTAGTTTTTATTGCATTTGTGTGTGTGTGCATACACCCAAGAGTGTAGATTTCTCTTCTACTACATGGGACCTGGGGATCCAACTCAGGTTGTCAGGTTTGATTGAAAGCTCCTTTACCCACTGAATTATCTTACTGGCCCAACTTGTGCATTTGAAATGTATGAATTGCATGGTGTCTGAGTTGTATCGTGATTATACCGTTACTAAGTATCACTTTTGGTCAAATTGGCCATGCTACACAGTCCTGGAGTTCGACACTCAGCTAGAGGGTATCTAAAAGGATTGGTCAGAGTGAATGCCATTAATCCTGGCAGTTAAGGGAATGCATTCCATTCTTTAATGGTGTCTTAACTAGAAATTGTTAACAGGCTTTGATAGCCCTGAAAAACCTTTGGTTCTAAACCCCTGATGTGGGCCTGGGCAGATGACTCAGTGGAGTCCTAGCTGTGCACACCTGGGGGCCTGAGGTGGACTTGTCAGTGCCTATAAAAAGCCAGGTGTGGCAGTGTGCATCTGTCATTCCAGCCTGGGGAGGCAGAGACAGGGAGCATCTTGAGGCTAACCAGCCAGCCAGCCTTCCTGAATCAGTGACTCAGAGGTTCAGTGAAAGGTCTTTCTTCAGAAAGTAAGGTAGAGAGGTCAGGGAAGGTGTCCACCATTGCTGTCTGGCTTCCACCTGCACATCTGCACGTGTGCACATATGTGTACACTCACAAAACCTCTAGTACAGTGGTCCTCAACCTGTGGATTATGACCCTTTCACAAGGGTCACCCAAGACCATTGGAAAACACAGATAATCACATTATGATTCATAACAGTCTCAAAATTACAGTTATGAAGTAGCAATGAAATGATTTTATGGTTGGGGGTCAGCCCAAGTGAGGAACTGTGTTAAAGATTGAGAACCACTGCCCTAGTATAATATTTAGTTGAGCTGGGTGTGCTTTCTTTCCTATAAGTGTTTATAACTGAGGCTGTTTCAGTTTCTGTTTGCTTCCTTTTCTAGTTATGAAGTGCTTGATGGAAAATCTTGAGGATGAAATATCTCAGGCTGAGAACTCTCTGCTTCAGGCTGCATCCTCATTTCCAATGTATGGGAGAGTCCACTGCATAACAAGAGCTTTCCAGAGGTTGCCTTTGAAGTAAGAATACCCACAGCTTTCTTGTTTAGAAATACACGTATATGTGGCATTTAGCTTCTTACTGGAGTGTGTCCTAAAAAGAATTGAAAATTAGATTTCATTGTCTACCCATATATGCCTATTTTTAAGTCCCTAATATTTCATATATCCCACAGTTTTAAGCCACAGATTCTTTCAGCTCCTTTTTTGTGTTCATTCATTTCTAAGATGAGTTTTTTGCTTTTGAGTATAATGTCTCTACTGTGTTTGCTGCAGTGCCCTGCAGTTGGTGAGCGAGTGGAGGCTGGTGGTGGAGAGGCTTTTGCTGCTGGCCTACAGGCTTTCTGCTGTGGTGTCTCCTGTCATCCAGAGCTCCTCCCCTGAAGGCCTCATCCCTATGGACACCGACTCAGGTCAGCTGCCGAGAGCCAATGCGATTCTGTCTCCGTCTCTATCTCGTTATTCTTTTGGAGAGATACAAAAATTAAATTCAGGGAAAAATCTTTTTCATGCTATGTCTAATTTTTTTAGTAATATTTTTAACTATTAAAAAGTAGCCCCTGGCAGGAGAGACATTTTACAGAGTGGTGTAGTTACTGGTAAGGTGTGTCTGTTCCTATAAACAAACTCACCCATCTTCCCACAGGCAGACTTAATGTAATTCAGTGAGTTACAAAGAAAAAGAGGAGGGCATGAAAGTAGACGAGGGACGAGTTGGGACAAAGGGGATCAGTGGGAGTGAGGAGGACAGGAGAGGGTCATGTAAAGTGAATATGATCCCAATATGCTATAGAATTATATTCATTACGTTGGGCGATTGGTAGCACATGCCTTTAATCCCAGCACTCAGGAGGCAGAGGTATGTTGATCTCAGTGAGTTCGAGGTCAGCCTGGTCTACAGAGTGAGTTCCAGGAAAGGTGCCAATGCTACTCAGAGAAACCCTATCTCAAAAACAAACAAAAAACCCAAACAAACAAAAAATTATATTTATCATTAGTCCCATTTGTGTAACCAATATCTATTAGATTAACATCTATTAGAGTTGTAAACACTGTATATATGAAATGACCCCAGCTCCAGAGAACCAGGTAATAAACAAGATAGATTGGGTTTTATAGTACTGTTTTTCAGAGCAGGTAGTCCATATGTGTGAGGTGGGTAGAGAAGACTGCTTACTAGGAATTGGAAATGGACAAAGAGCAATTCTTGAGAAGGAATGGAAGGAAATAGTTCTCTAGATTGAATTTAGGAAGTTTCATCTGCTTTTGCCTTCCCAGTCCCCGCCTCTTTGCATATGTTCCTCCCGTGGATCTGCATGCAAGTCAGGGGTCTAGGACTGCTTGGAAGTCTCCCTTCTCATGCCCATTTCCATTTTCTTTCAGGGTTACCCTTAAAAACTCCTAAATCTTTTTTTTTTCTCTGCACCTTTCTCACCCTCTCCAGGTAATTTTTGTTTTCTTAGGTTATCCTAAGTGCTTCCCTATGGATTTCCCTTCTTCCATTTCCTTCTAATAAAGTTCAGATGACCTTTTCCTAGTCATGTCAGTTACCATTTGAATGACACATCGTCTTTAGCCCTTTGTGCTGTCCCACTTTGACACTGCAGTGCCCTCCGACCGTGCCCTGGGGTGGTTTGTCTCCTAATGCTCCTCGCCCCAGGAGCTGTCCTTCATGGAACTTACTTTACAGGAATGGTGCCTCTGTGTTCTTGCCTTGCGATGAAAAGTAGTGATGATTCACGATACCAAGACAGTTAGTTTATTCCAACTCATACCTCAGTATTGATCTTGATACTTTAGTTTTCCTACTTAGATGGTAAATCTCGAATATTTGGCTCAGGCAAGTACTGGTCGATTCTTAATGAGCAATCCTGAATGTTTCAATTCCCTAATGTGGGTCAGTCTTGTAGAGTATGATAAGGAGTTTTGTTATTATTTAAGAGTAGGTGGGGAGGAGCTTTGGGGGAGGGGAAAGAATATGATCCAAATTCACTGCATGAAAAAATTTGGAAAGAATAAAAATATTTTAAATTTGAAAAGGTTGATCTAGATACTATTTTACCTCACAGACTTTTCCTGAATTTCGCCTCCCTTGCCTTGGTCTTTATATTTTCTTCCTGCCACGTCCCTGTTTTATAGGCCATATATTCTGAACCCCCAGAAGAGGGTCTGCCTGAGAGCCATAGTTGGATGGGTAGGATTTCGAAAACCTTTCTGGTTGTTTCTGTTTTCCTTTACTCTTCTCATAGCTTTTTGGAAGGGTTGGGAGGGGGAAGGGGAGGCGGTGTTATTTTTTCCTGGCTGTTAAAATCTGCTTTTTTGACAAAATTTCAAGGACTCAACCAATGAGTATATGTGTTGGTTGAATGGCTATTAACAGAGTTTGAGCCTGTGTATTTCCCATAGTGCCTGAATAGATGTATCTAATCTTTACCGCCTCTTAGATTTTTCTGTTCATTCCCTCTGATTTAGTACTTTTTAAAAATTAGAGCTTGGGTGGCTTCTAACTACCCATCCATCATCCCATTCGTTCAGCCCAATTCCCCCGAATCTCTAGGCACTGGTGACTCACAGTGAATGAAGGCCGTCTTCCTGGAGTTTACTAAAAGACATTGCACGAAACATTGGCAGTGTGCAGCATGCTGAGACAGCTGTGTCTTTCACTTTTCTAAACCAAATATGGAATTTTTATATGCCTATGTTGCAAAAGATTGTGTGGTATTGATTTTTTTAGATATTAGAACACATTTTTATCTTTGAATCTTGCTGACTTACATTGTAGGCTAGGCAAACCAATCTTACTGTACTTCCCTCACAAGAGTAAGCATTGTCACTCTATGGGAAAGGCGATGGCAGCCTGTGAATGGGGGTGTTTGACTGTGTGTGTGTCATGTCTTCAGTCTGGACTTTGTTAAGAGCACACTCTAGTACCATGAAGACCCTATGTAAGTAACTTCCTGTCAGCCATCCTGTGAGCACAGGTATTGCCGCTGTTGGAAACTGCAGCAACTTGGAGTTAGTTCAGGGAAATCTGCACGACATGGAAGTTGGTGTTCATGAGTGCGTATCTTTTCTTCAGAGTCAGCAAACCGCTTGCAAGTGATTCTCAATGAGATTCAACCACGGGATACTAATGATTACTTTAACCAAGCCAAACTAATGAAAGAATGTGACAGCTTTGACTTGGAGGACTTGAGTACCAGTGTCTCAAATATTGATTGTTGTACAGAAGTCAAAGGTAAGATGCATGAAATGGATACTGTAATCAGTTGGGTGTCTTGGTGTTTGTGTCCTGGGGTGGGGAGGATGACTACAAGTATTTTAGTAATGTAAAATGTGTAGACTGTCTTTTATTGTTTTGTTTTAAAGTGTGTGTGTGTGTGTGTGTGTGTGTGTGTGTGTGTGTGTGTGTGTGTGTGTGTGAATACCTAAGTGCAGGTGCCTGTGGAGGTCAGAAGTGTAAGATCTTCTTGGAGCTGAAGTTACAGGCAGTTGTGAATTGCTTGATTGCTTGATGTGGATGCTTCAACCCAACTTGGGTACTATAACAGCAGTACACACTCTTAACTGCTGAGCCATCTTTCCAGCCCCAGAATGCCCTTTGGATATAATAAAAGAGTTTAGATTTGCAGAACATTTCTGGAAAACAAAGACTTTTCTTTTCTTTTCGTTTTTTTTTTTTTTTTTTTTTTTTTTTTTTTTAGACAGGGTTTCTCTGTGTCGCTTTGTGCCTTTCCTGGAACTCACTTGGTAGCCCAGGCTGGCCTCGAACTCACAGAGATCCACCTGGCTCTGCCTCCCAAGTGCTGGGATTAAAGGCGTGTGCCACCACCACCCGGCTAGACTTTTCTTTTCAATTTGGGTTTTAGAATGACTTTGTAAGAGCTTTATCAGAAAATGATATGCCTTAGTTCAACATAGATGATGCTACAACACAAAGCTTTTGAGCATAAAACTCTTGAGTAGCCCAGCTGGGAAGTGAGGGACACAGGATGCTGATGGATCTGGCCTCCCCTTCTCCCTGCTGCATAGTTCCCTGCTGTCTTCTGTGGGAGTTCTTGAAGTCAGCATCCTTTTAAAGGAAACCTTATCCCCAAGCAGAATGTGGACTTCTGTGTTACACCAAGCCGCCAGAATCCCAGTCTGCATGGCTTGCTTTATCAGTTGTTACTGAAAAAAGTTATCACAGGAAGTAATTTCTTCGTGATTTACCCTGTGACTGTGTTCTCCACTAGGTGGGGTTATTGTCTTGCTAAACAATCTCTTTGCAATTGTATTTTTAAAATTACAAAAATAGGTTTTCACTGTAATAGTGAAATATAAATTTAAAACGGAGTAAAGCTGTGTTCCATTTCTTCCCCAGTTCTACCCTGCTACCATTTTGTGTATACGCCATTCCAGCCATGCTGTGTGTTTATGTGTAAGTGCGTTTTTCTTTTAGCTTAGGGAGCTTTTCTTTATAAAGGGAGAGAGAATAAATGGTTTTGTTAACTTCCTTCTTTGCCTTAATAGGATTTTTTTTTTAATGTCAGTACTAAAATACACCTGAGACTAGGATAAGAGAGTAAACAGGAGGACACTTAGCTTGTTTGCCTTGTGATTAAACACATTTTAAAAGGTAATTGGTATAGTCTATTGATTGTAAAAGTTTGTCTTGGGTTGGAGAGAGAGCTGAGCAGTCAAGAGCACTGTCTGTTCCTTTGAAGGATCCGGATGCAACCCCAGCATCCACGTGTTAGTCACAACTATCTGTAACTCTAGTTCCAGAGGATCCCGTGCTTTCCTTTGGCCTCTGTGGGCACCAGGCACGCATGCAGGGCACAGGTACACAAGCAGGCAAAGCCTAGCACCCATGTGCATTAAAAACAAAGACAGAAATAGGAAAAGTCCTGTCCTAGGGGCTGGAGAAGTAGCTCTGTGGTTCAGAGTACTTGCTCTTCCCGAGGACCTGGGTTCAGTTCCAGCACCGTGTCAAGTGGCTCCCAGTGGCCTGTAACTCCAGCTCCACACATGTGGCATATTCTCTCTCTCTCTCTCTCTCTCTCTCTCTCTCTCTCTCTGTCTCTCTGTCAGGAGGGTGTGAGTTTGGAGAGCCTGTGTGTAAAAAAACAAAGCTAAAACAAACAACAACTAAATTTTTATCCACTCCTTACCTGATAAAGGAACCGTTCTCACCAAAGTAAACAAGAAGTACTTTTTTTTCCTTTTAAATACTCAAGCACGCAGTGCTTTTTGGGTGCCAGAGAGGTGCAAAGTTTGCCTCAGTAACATTCAAATGCTAGTCCTAAGTTTTGAGGAGGTAGTGTGTTTCATTTTAAGTTTTTTTGAAAGTAACAAATTCAAAAATTAGCATGCTTCCCCCTCATAGCATGTACTCTACAAATGTTAGCGTATTTTGTTTTCTCTGAATAAATAGAACATATGACAAATTGGTTTGTTCAAACAAATCATTCTTGGGGAAATTACGAATAAGTGTGTTCTAAGAAAACTGGGATGTGAGGAATCATAGCTGGTGTTGCAATGGTTTTGTTTTGTTCCTTAAGGTAAAGAAGGAACCACGTGTGATGTCACTGCTCAGATGGTCCTGGTGTGCTGCTGGAGGAGTATGAAGGAAGTCGCTTTACTTCTAGGCACACTCTGCCAGCTTCTCCCCATGCAGCCTGTGCCAGAATCTTCTGATGTGTTACTAACAGTGCCGCAGGTAAGATGATGGTCATCCCTCCAGGTATTGTCTGTGGCCAGGGTCTAAGCTGTTATTTGCGGATCAACTTTTAAAAAAGGCTTCGAACCTTTTATTTACAGATACCAGCTTAAAAAGGTTCATGGTAATTTTAGGATATTAGATCTTAACATATTTTTAAAATGTGGCATTTTAAGAAATTTTATATCAATAGCTATAGATTTGCCTCACTTTTGACTGCAGCATTATTATTTAAATTTTTATCTCTTTAGCATACATAAACTTGAATTCCAGCTGAAATGATCTGTTTAGTAAGACTCTACATGTCTCTTAAAATTTTCAAGGAATAAAAAAGTAGCATTGCTTGCTCATGCTCTCTTGTTCCCCCTTCAGTAATAAAGTTGCAGCCCTGGATGCTTTTGGCTGACTTTCTCTTCAGACCACAAGTTAGCTCAGCATCTGGGGCTGTGTTTACAAGAAACTAGCTTACCACAGGCATTTCATTTGGAAATATTGTAGATTTATTAGATTTTTGTTTTTAATTGATTCCTTCTTCCTTTCCATATGGTTTCAACAAATCCATTTCCCACAGTTTGCCAGCAAAGATATATAGCATGCACTTTCATTTTTAACCTTTTTCAAATAAAGATAATTTCCCCCCGTAGGGTATTACAACATTCAAGAACAAAACAAATACTGTAGTATGCTAATGCTGATTATTCTTACAATAACCCTGTGACTAGCGCCATGGAAACAATGCTAATGTTTTTATTCTCACACTCGGGCGCATGTGCTTGCATCTGGCTAACAGCTGGGCCAGTGATGTTGCAAGACCTTGGAAAAGCACAGGGCAAAGGCGACTAGCCCGTTGTGGGCGGCCTGTTCCTTCCTCAGTCTCGTCCAGATTAAATAGGCCTTGCTGTCCACAGTTGCTGGAGTCATTGCTCTGACTGGCAGGAGTGCCAGTGCCCATTTCTTGCTGAGGAATCCAGTTATGATCAGCCATTTCACTGGTGTGAATCCACCATCTTGTTAGGAAGTGAGCATGTGCTGAGTCCTTGACTTGTCAACTTCTCCTTTCAAGGACAAATTGAGGAAAACATTTTGCTTTTTATTGTAACTGAGAAAGCTCTTAAAAACTTGAAAGCTCTCCATGAAAATTATTTTGCCTTGACACCCTTTCCATGATACCCAAAGTTTGTATTGTAATGACTTCATGTGGAACAACCATGTTAAAATTGGGAACTAACGTAAAAGACATGTTTGGTTTTTTAAAAAAAGAAACTAAAAATAACAAATAAATAGTCACATAAACTAAAGAATTCTTCAGTGGCTGTTTGCATGTCTAAATAGACTTCTGCCCATTAATAAAAAAGCATCACAGAATGGAGGTTCTGACGACGCACGTAGTCTTCCAGGGCGGTGTTTACATGATAAGCTCACATGTAGCTGTGTGAGAAGACACCACTGGCTTGATGAAGAATGGGGTCATGTCACTGCCGTGTGCTAATAGAAACTATTCTCTGTGGAAAGCTTTACTCTTGGCTTTTAAACAAATGTCGTCTTAGCTTAGGCACATTTAGTCCATGAAAGTCCTGTCATCCAGGCATTAATGTCATTTACATTACTATAGGGTTTCTTCTTTTCTAAACATAAAATTGCTTCCTTTAAAAAAAGTGTTTTTAATTTAAATATTTTAGGTTTGTTTATTTTGTCAGTGTTTGCTATCATATCCACGTGCGTAGTTGTGTTCTAGGTGCCTGTGGAGGCCAGAAGAGGGCATCAGATCCCCAGAACTGGAATTGCAAGTGCTTATGAGCCACCATGTGGATGCTGGGAATTGAACCCTGGGATCCTTTTGGAAGAACAGTAGTGCTCTGAACTGCTGAGCTAGCTCGTCATCCTTCCCACTTCCTCGCTTGTGAGACAAGGTCTTGTTATGTAGCCCAGGCTGGCCTTCCGAGTGCTGGAAAGACAGCTAGTTGTAAATTCTGCTTCTATAAATAAGAAATAGTCCCATGTACTTGATTCTTTCAAGAATTAAAAATAGAACGGACAGAAGAGCATTTAGTTTACATCAGGGCACCTGGCCATACCTAAGGAAATTCATCCATACATCCAGGGACATAGTTGTTCTGGCAAAGCTACCTTTGCTGTAGCTGGTGACAAACCATCAGTCTGAGAGTGTACTCTCTGATGAGTGTGACTGCAGCACCCTCTCCTGTAGAGTTAAGTTACTGGTTCTCAGGAGTCTCCTCTCTCACCTTCCTCACCCCCCAGTTCTTTGAAGGTCACCCTGGTTTTATGCCTTTGTTAAGGGGTGGTTCTTACATGGCACACATGATCGTGATTTACAGCAGGCGGACAGGCAGCAGGGGGACAGTTTGGGGACTGGTGTTGCCGTCCGAGAGGAGAGCTGGTACTTGTCTTTTGTTCTGAGTGCTCAGTGCTTGGTTCATGGAAGGATCATTGCCGCGATGCTCTCCAGCCCCCTGAGATAGGAGGAGACTGAAGCCCTGGTTGTCATCACCTGCTTTGCCAAAGACCACAAAGCTCGTGTCTAGCCTCCCTCAGGTGGGAACCCAGTTCTCTCCTTCCCATCATGGCTTCCCCTGGCACAGTGCTCTCTTTGTTCTGAGCAGCTCATTTAAGTGTTCTTTAAGTTGGATTTCCCCCTTCTCCATTACCTAAGCCAGTTTTCTCTACTGAAGGAGCAATGGAAGATAACTTTTTTATTTTTAAGTGTTTAGTACTTGATCCTTCCCGTAAGGCATTTGGTGTGAAGTATTTAGTACCTGATCCTTCCCGTAGGGCATTTGGTGTGAAATGTTTAGTACCTGATCTTTCCTGTAGAGCATCTGGTGTGAAGTGTTTAGTACCTGATCTTTCCCTGTAGAGCATCTGGTGTAAAGTGTTTAGTAC